GAGGATTAGAAGGGCTCCCCTTCAACCTCAGACAGTTATTAAAGTGTTTTCTCCAGGAGGGATTCTGGCCAACAGGGGTTTTTAAAGACTCTTCTTAGTCACTCATCTTCCCAGTCACTTAGTCACTCATCTTCCCAGTCACTCATCTTCCCATGTCTCACTTCCCAGCTTCAAAAGCCACTTCAGCTCATTTCTATTTCTTTTCCTCTAAATGGGAAGTTAAAATATTTATTCTTTTACCATTCTTTTTCTTGTGACCTGTCATTTCTATTCCCTAAAGTCGCTATTTTCCCTTTAATTCGCTGGGCATAGCTAAGGTCTCAGGGTTCTTCCCGTATCCCGCAATGCCTAGCACCCTACTTTGATCCCAGTTTTCTTCAATAACCTGCATATTTGTATCAAGAGTTTTGGCTGTGGCTTGCTTGACATTCCCAGTAAATGCTCTGCTTAAACTGAGACCATCTTTGGTCTCCTTTCTTTTTCCTTATTACTCACCAATTCTTTTTGTCTCCCCCATTTGAGTACTTTCTCTCCTTTTTCTATTCTTCTCCAAAAAGAATGGGGAGCAACTTTTAAAAAGAGATTAGAGGGCGCCTGGGTGGCTCAGTTGGTTAAGCGACTGCCTTCGGCTCAGGGCATGATCCTGGAGTCCCTGGATCGAGTCCCGCATCGGGCTCCCTGCTCGGCAGGGAGTCTGTTTCTCCCTCTGACCCTCCTCCCTCTCATGCTCTCTGTCTCTCATTCTCTCTGTCTCAAATAAATAAATAAAATCTTAAAAAAAAAATAAAAAGAGATTAGAACAGTATATGTCTTTTACTACATAGCTGTTTTTATTTTTTTTCTCTATTAGAAAGTAATTATTTTTTGAGTAGGGTCTCTTTAGAGTCACATAACTAGGATAAAGGAAAAATCAATCAGTTCTTTAATATAATGCCATAACTGGTTACTAAAAATACAATCATCTTAAAAACTAAAAATGTACAATGGATGATACATTTTAGTTAAGATCAGATGGCCATAGTATAAAAGTATGAAGAGTATTTTAAAAGCAATGGTTATAAGCAAGTGACAATTTTTTTTAAAAGAAATTTTTGGGAAGCATTTTATCTTTTCAAAGAAGAATAAAAGAATGAATTTTTTAGTGTCGTAATTTATCCTAAATGTCATTATATCATATACATGTTTTATCTCCATTTGGGTGAGTTATCAAAATATAGATTATAGCAGTGAGTCACACACCGTAAATTACTTACTGAGCAGGGGATAAAGCCAAAAGAGTAAAATTCCAGAGTCTAAGAATACAATTTTCTGCCACTTCTGTTTTCAATTATATAAATTTTATTGGCATTCACCTTTAATCTTGTATTATAATATTGTATAAGCAGCTACTAAATGGTTAAGTTTTGGCTTGGACGTTAGACTAACGGGATTGACATCCTAGCTCTGCCTTTTACCGACTGTGTGGCCTTAGGTATGTTATTCATTATCTCCATGTCTCACTTTCGGCATTTGTAAAATTGGTGTAAAATTTAGCTAGTACATGTGGTGATTTCAATTCTGTTTAGGTCACAATGAGAGTTTAATAAATATGAATCCATATTAATTTATGGCCTTCCTTTGGTGTGTGTGGCACCTGCTTAGGCCCTGTTAGTTGCCTAGCTAGTGGCTTGCCTCCTTCTCTTTCTTGCTGGCAGAACCCGTCTTCTGCGACAGAGGTCAAACATGTCTGATGCTCATTTTTCCAAGCCTCGCTCACATTGGGGCACAACTCTGTGACCTGACTCAAGCCAGTAACCTAAGGATTAGTCTGCTAGCAGGAGGGAGGTGGAGGAGTTGGAGATGGTGATGTTGAGATTGTTTATAGATAATAATTTCCTTCCTGAAAAAAAAAAAAGGGAATTATCTAGGAAAATCCCACCCCTCTTTCCTAGAAGAGTGCCAGGAGCTGAGGGAGCCTCTGTGGCCCTTGGGTGGAAGCCAAAAAGTGAAAGGTAGTAGAGCTGAAAGGTAGAAAGAGCCTGTGTCCCTGATGACACTGGTGACAGCTGGGTCAACCTGGAGAGTGCCTAACTCCAGACACCTTACTGTGTGACATAAGATGTATCTTCAAGCCGTCATTAGTCAGCTACTCTGTGACTTCCAGCCCAAACTGTTACAACTGATAAAGGCACTTCAAAAAATAGCATTGATAATTTCTAAAAAGTGCCGATCAGTATTTGGAAACATGTATGTAAAGTGGTTTAACGTATAAACTGTATGATATTTTGAGGAAAAAAATAATATTAATCTCCTAGGTAAAATTTTGACCAAGCTATTTGCTCTTCCATACAAAAGGGTCATGCTGAACTTCAATAAACTAGGGGACAAAGACCTATTGAAAAAAGCCCATCCAAAGTAAATAAGCCTAAAAGAAAATAATTTTTTAAGAAGATTTTATTTATTCATTTGAGAGAGAGAGACAGTGCAAGCTGGAGGGAGAGGGAGAGTATGAAGCAGACTCCAGGCTGAGCACAGGGCCGGAGGCAGGGCTTGATCCCACAACTGTGAGATCCTGACTAGAGCCAATATCAAGAGTCGGTCACTCAACCAACTGAGCCACCCAGGCGCCCCTAAAAGAAAATAATTTTTTATTAAAAAAATTTTTTTTATTATGTTCAGTTGAAAATAATTTTTAAAAAAAGCAAACAACCGGGGCGCCTGGGTGGCTCAGTCAGTTGAGCCACGGACTCTTAGTTTCTGCTCAGGTCTGATCTCAGGGTACTGGAATTAAACCCGGTGTTGGGCTCCGTGCTGAGCAAGGAGTGTGCTTGGGATTCTCTCTCTCTGCCCCTCCCACTTGAAATCTCTCTCTCTCTCTCAAATAAATAAATAAATCTTTTTTTTTTTTTTTTTAGATTTTATTTATTTGAGAGAGAGAGAGCAAGTAAGGGGAAGGAGCAGAGGGAGAGGGACGAGTAGGCTCTGCGCCCAAGCACAGAGCCCCATGTGGGGCTCGATCCCAGGATGCTGAGATCATGACCGGAGCTGAAATTAAGAGTCAGATGCTTAACTGACTGAGCCACCCAGGTGCCCAGATAAACAAATCTTTTTTTTTTAACGCAAACAACAAAACTAATCCTTTAGCTTTCTTACGTTTTTCTTTAAGTGTATACTAGACCATAATATGCTAACTGTACCAATTTTATGTTGTATCCCTGCATTATTAATATTCTGTTTCCAAAGGATCACATTCTGTTTTCTTATGAATATTTTTCTTCATAATTGACACTTAGGAGTTCATCATTTTCAGAGTGTTTTTAACTTTTTTTTTCCTTCTGTTTTAAGGTATTACTGAAGTTTAACTCACATAAAATATTACATTAGTTTCAGGTGTACAACATATTGTTTTGACATTCCATATGTTACTCAATGTTCATAAGTGTAGTCACCATACCATTATTACAATATTATTGACTATATTCCCTATGCTGTACTTTTAATCCCTGTGACTTATTTATTTTATAACTGGAAGTTTGAAGCACTTAATCCCCTTTATCTATTTCACCCATCTTCCCACCTACCACCTCTCAGGCAACCACTGGTTTGTTCTCCAGGAGTCTGTTTTTTCCTTTGTTTATTTGTTTGTTTTGTTTTTTAGATTTCACATATAAGTGAAATGATATGGTATTTGCCTTTCTCTGTCTGACTTATTTCACTTAGGTCCATCCATGTTGTCACCAATGGCAAGAGCTCATTCTTTTTTACGGCTGAGTAATATTCCTGTGTGTGTGTGTGTGTGTGTGTGTGTGTGTGTGTGTGTGTGTAGCATTTCTTTGTCCATCCATCTATTGATGGACACTTGTGTTGCTCCCATATCTTGGCTATTGCAAGTAATGCTGCAATAAACACAGGGATGCATATATCTTTTTGATTTGGTGTTTTCATTTTCTCTGGGTAAATGGCCAGTAGTAGAATTATTACCATATGGTGGTTCCATATGGTATTTCCATTTTTAATTTTTTGAGTAAGCTCCATACTGTTTTACGCAGTGGTCGTACCAATTTACATTCCCACCAGCAGTGTACAAGTGTTTCCTTTTCTCCATATCCTTTCCAACACCTATTTCTTGTCTTTTTGATAGTAGCCATTCTGACAGGTGTGAGGTGGTATCTCATCATGGTTTTGATTTGCATTTCCCTGAGGATTAGTGATGTTGAACATCTCTCCATGCGTCTATTGGCCATTTTCATATCTTCTTTGCAAAATGTTTATTCAGTTCCTCTGCCCATTTTTAAAGCAGACTGTTTGGTTTTTAGTGTTGAGTTGTGTAAGTTCTTTGTATATTTTGAATATTAACCCCTTATTGGCTATATCATTTACAAATATCTTTTCCCATTCACTAGGTTGCATTTTTTTGTTGTTATTGATGATTTCCTTTGCTATGCAATTATGAGTGTTCTTTAAATAGTTAACTAACTCTCAAATAAACTTCTAGTTATATTAGTAGATTTTCAAGCAATACAAGAATAATAAAATAGTGTCTATACTCTCTGTGACCACACAACATCTTTATGCCATGAGACCTAAATTGCTTACCTTTATTCTTAAAGCCTTTACTACCTAATCAGAGCCAAACAATAGTATATTTTATAAAGAAAATTTCATACTCATGCATCATTTTCCTTTGGTCAGTCAAAAAAATGGTAACGTCTGTAGGATAAAATACCTAGCTTACAACAAAGGATAAGCAGTGTTATTTTCTGCATGATATTAAAACAAAATTTTTTATTTAAAAATTGCCTATATAATATATTAAATATTCTATACATGAAATAATTCTACTGAGAGTAAATATTGAACATATGTTACAACTTGGGCTGAATTTGACAGTGTTTATTTAACTGGTCAAACATTTTAGATTTTTGTAGGTTGTGGTCATTACTGGAATCATTTATGGTTTAGAAGGAAAAGTAGATTCACATATGCTACTATGTTTTTTTGTTTTGTTTTTTGTTTTTAAGACTCATGTCTGAAGCCTCAAATTCTGTGGAAAATATCTGGATGAAAAGAGATAATCAGATCCAGCAATCTCACTCCTTGGTATTTACCTAAAGGAATCGAAAACATATGTCCACATAAAAACCTCCATGCAGATGTTTATAGCAGCCTTATTCATAATTGCCAAAACTTGGAAGCAAATGAGATGTCCTTTAGTAGGTGAGTGGATAAATAAACTATGGTACATCCAGACAATGGAATATTATGGAAATGAGATATTAAGCCATGGAAAACATGGAGGAAACTTAAATGCATGCTACCAAGTAAAAGAAACCAATCTGAAAAGGACACATACTGTATGATTCCAATTATATGACATGGTGGCAAAGGCAAAACTATAGAGACAGTAAAAAGATCAATGCTTGCTAAGGCTTTGGGGAAAAGGAGAGATGAAAAGGCAAAGCATAGGGAATTTTTAGGGCAGTGAAAATACTCCTTATAATGTTGTAATAGTGAATGCAACATCCTTATGTAGTTGTCCAAACTCAGAATGTGCAACACCAAGAGTGAACCCTAATGTAAACTATGGACTCTGGGTAGTAATGATTTGTCAAACCAGCTTCATCAGTTGTAACAAATGTTCTGTCTGGTGGGAGATGTTGATAGTGAGGGAGACTATGTATGTGTGTGGACAGGGAATATATGGCATGTCTTTGAATCTTCCCCCAATTTAGCTGTGAACCCAAAACTTCTCTAAAAAAGAAAGTCTAAAAAAAGAGAGAGATAATCATTCTTGATTTTCTGTCATGTGCTTTACACCTTAGAGCAACTGTTGTTTACTAATACCTATCACCTATAGGACACTTACGATTTGATCAGACAGGGCTATGTGCTCTACAAATATGACCTCAATCATCACAACAATCCTATCAGGCAGGTAGAATTATTCTTTAATTTTTTGGGGGGGGCGGTGGGGAAAACACAACTTAGAGAAGTAACTTGCCCAGGACTTGTGGTTAGAAAACATGAATACAGGTTGGTATGGTTCCAAAGGCTTTGCTCTTTTTTTTTTTTTTAAAGATTTTATTTATTTATTTGAGACAGAGAGAATGAGAGAGACAGAGAGCACATGAGAGGGGGGAGAGTCAGAGGGAGAAGCAGGCTCCCTGCCGAGCAGGGGGCCCGATGCGGGACTCGATCCCGGGACTCCAGGATCATGACCTGAGCCGAAGACAGTCGCTTAACCAACTGAGCCACCCAGGCGCCCTGGTTCCAAAGGCTTTGCTCTTAACCACTGTTATTGTAACAGCCCATTTCAACCTCACCCCACACTTATGCCCAGCCCAAACTTCAGTGGTTTAGTTAGTGCAGAACTGGAGTAGTTGCCTGTCTCAGTGTTTTCTGGTAAGGACCTCTTTCAACAACAGGTAACATGTTGCCTGCTCCTATAGACTAAATGTTTATATTCTCCCCGAATTCATATTTTAAAACCCTAATCTCCATTGTGATGGTATTTGAAGGTGGGACCTGTGGGAAGTAATTAGGTCATGAAGGTGGAGCCTTCATTATGGGATTAGTGCCCTTATAAGAAGAGACATGAGAGAGCTTATCTTGATCTTGGACTTCCCTGACTCCAAAACTGTAAGCAATAACTTTCTGTTGTTTAACTCACCCAGTTAATGGTACTTTTGTCATAGCATCCTGAACTAAGACATACACTTTCTCTCTAGGAAAAGTGATGCCTTTCTGTTCCCCAAGACTTTGCTCAGTCTTTGTTTGACTTACCCTGTGGACAACAACCCTTACGGTAAACGGAATTTACCTAATTGCAAGACTTAAATAATTACTACAGTAATTAAGAGAATATGTTGGCTAACTGAACATAATAAAAAAAAAGGAGAGAGAGAGAGAATATAATGCTGGCATGTGTTTAGATTATCCATTATTAGAACAGAATGGAAGGTCCAGAAGTAGACACACACATGAATGGTCTAATCATTTTCAGCAAAAGCAGTAAGTTAATTCAATGTGAAAGAAAAAGTCTTTCAAATAAATGATGATAGAACAACTGGATATCTATATAAAATGAAGTAAACCTTGATATCTGCTTCATTCCTTACAAGAAAATGAATGCAAGATGGATTGCTCATACAGGAGTGCCTGGGTGGCTCAGTCAGTTAAGTGTCTGCCTTCAGCTCAGGTCATGATCTTGGGGTCATGGGATTGAGCCCCGCATCAGGCTCCCTGCTCAGCGGGGAGTCTGCTCCCTCTGCCTCTTCCTCTGCTCATGCTCTCTCTCTCAAATAAGTAAATAAATAAACTTTTTTAAAAAGATGGATCATACATTTAAATATAAAAGCTTAGAATCATAAAAAGTCTAGAAAAAATACAATTATCTCCACAAAACTATAAAAGGAAAAATGGATAAGGATATTTGATTGTATCAAAATTTAAAATTTCTGCTCACCAAAAGGTATCATTAAGACAATGAATGGGCAAGATACAAAGTGGGAGAAAATATTCATTATATATTTCATAAAAGATTTTTTTCAGAAAATATAAAGAACTACAAACCAGTAGTAAAAGGACAACCCAATACAAAAAGGGCAAAAGACTGAATAACACATCATAAAAGATACAATTATGGTTCATAACTATTAAAAAGGTGCTCAACATCATTAGTTATCAGGGAAATGCAAATAATATCACAATGAGATGCCACTTCACACCTACTAGAACAGCTAAAATTTTTTAAAAAGTGGCTATAATGAATGTTGGCAAGGATGTAAAGTAATTACATATTTTGTCCTTTTTTCATATGCAAATTCAGTGTTTGTTTTGCCCTTACAACATGTCTCAGTTAAGACTACTCACATTTTAAATGTTCTGTAGCTATAGGTGGCTAGTGGCCTCTGCATTCTCTCTATTGGACCTGGATTTATTAATGTTAGCACTATTAACATTTGGACTGAATAATTTTTTGTTTTAGGGGCTGTTCTGCGCATTGTAGAATGTTTAGCAGCTGACCTCTACCTACTAGATGCCAGTATTACAAGGTCTATAAATCTATGGTTAGATCTCAGTATATTCCAGGGCACAAGTAAAAAGTCTGACTTGGGAGAAGTCTTTCATATTAAAAAAATGTGCGTGATTTTGCTGATTTATATTGGCAGAAACCTATGGAATATGATAATGAATTCCAGGGATGTTAGATCAGGGACAAAGGAATACAATTTTTGATGAGATCGAAGTTATCAATATGGATATATTAATCAAAAACCATGGACCTGGGGCACCTGGGTGGCTCAGTTGTTAAGCATCTACCTTCGGCTCAGGTCGTGATCCCAGGGTCTTGGGATCGAGCCCCGCATCGGGCTCCCTGCTCAGTGGGGAGGCTGCTTCTCCCTCTCCCTCTGCCTGCCTGCCTACTGGTGAACTCTCTCTCTCTGTCAAATAAATAAACAAAATCTTTAAAAAACAAACAAACAAACAAAAACCATGGACTCATTGTGCTTGCCTGAGCATCTGGGAGTGGTTCAAGGTTTGCTTGGTTGTTGAAACCTGGATCCAATGCTGTCCTGCACTAAATAAAGATGAAATGCTAGAAATCTCTTAAAAGACTTAGGGAGATAGGATGTTGGAATGGATTTATCATGTGTGACTCAGTCACCTATCTCCAATTGTATCCTGAGAAGGCTAGAGGACTTTCTCTTCACTAATGCATTGAGAAAATACTGGGAGGGAGAGGAAGCTGTTGTCCTCTAAGCCCAGGGATGAAGTTAGGAGATGCTGCAATTGAATAGGATCTCTAATTCCCTAATGGAAATAATAGGATATCAAAGTGGCAGAGGCCAACTGATCTCGCTTAAGCATCAGGGATGAGATAGCAGTGTTTACCATAATAGGCCCCCGGGGCCAGAGCAGTAATCATAGTTGTTTGGGAGGGATCTTTAGCAGTGTGAAAGTGATTATGGTGTCCCTGTAATTGAAATGGATGGACAGCCTTCTAAGATCTTACTTGATCTATAATAATGAAAAATTGCTAGATCTGATGAAGAGAGATCTGAACTTCATCACCTTAATGGAGATTTACAGCATCTCGACATTGCTTCTTAATTCATGGCTATTATAATAAGAAGGTCAATTGATAGGCCCTGGAATGGCCCTTTTCTACTGAAAAAGTTAACCTAAGTCCCATACCATATTTCTAGGGGAATTCTAGTGATTAATGCCACCATCAAAGACTTGAAAGATGCTGGCGTGGTGATTCTGAACATACTCACATTTAACCTTCTATTTGGCCTGGGTAGAAGATGAATGGGTCATCTAAAATGTTGATCCAGATGTAGTCTTTTTATCGGGTGAATAAGTATAATTCCTAGCATCTAGTATGCAGATATCGCTCTGGCAAATGTCTTTTATTCACCCTAATATGTGTAGCACAGCTGAAGTTGTTTGATTTTTATCTGGAAGTGAGAACGTGAGAGAATTTATTGCTTTACGTAAGAGCTATGTTAGGTCTTTAGTTCTCTCTCATACTATAGTGTGCAGAGACCATGATCATTTCATTACCTTTTGGGGTATTGCTTTTGTCTACTACATTTATTGTATTGTGCTGGCAGAACCTGATGATCAGGAAATAGCACATACCTTAATGCCTTGCCTAGCAAATTGTTTCCATAGACGCAATGTGACTTTGACACTGTCCCATCAAGAGGTGGAATCTTTTACTTTTTCTCTTGTATTTGGGCTGGCTCTCTGATATATTTTAGATAGCAAAATGCAGTGGAAGTGGTTCTGTGTAAATTGTGTGGCCTTAGATCTGCAGCTTCTTCCTTTGCTACCTAGGACACTCACTCTTGGAACACACCTGCCATGAAAAAAAGCTCAAGTTGGCCACATGCAGAGCTGCATGGATAGGGTGAAAGAGGCCTTAGCCTTCCAACTGAGCCCACCTAGTCACCAAACATAATTTTGGATATTCCAGCCTCAACAGCTATCTGGTTGCAACTTGATGAGAGACACCACCTATTGCCACGTGGAGGAAAAAACCCACACAGCTGAACTCTGCCTGAATTTCTCACCACAGAATCATGAACAAATAAAATGGTTGTTGTTTTAAACCACTAAGTTTGTTAAAACAGCAAAAGAAAACCAAAACATCTTGGAGAGAACACATGCAACTCAGAGTGGGGGATAAACCCTATGAAAATAATTTATTACACAACCGAACTATTTTTTTAAATTGCTTTTTTATTTTGCTAAATTTTATTTGCATTCATCAAGTATCTTTAAACCACTATTTCATTGTTTGCTACTTTTACAATTACAGTATATATTTGTTCCCATGAGGAAGGAAAACAAAATTACCACCCAACATTGCATCTTGCATCTGCTACATACAAAGGTACCATTAATGAGTTTAATATTTATGAGGTACTTATTTTAAATGCTTTATATCAGAGGTCTGCACACTCTGTCCTGTGGGCCAAATCTATCCTGGTATCTGTTTTTGTAAATAAAGTTTAATTGGAACACAGCCAAGCCATGTGTTTATGTATCCTCTATGGCATCTTTTATTCATCAATGGCAGAGTTAAATATGGCAGAGACTATATAATCCACAAAATCTAAAATATTTACTATGTGGACTTCTACAGAAAAAGTATGTTGGTCTCTGCTTTAAATTATGAGGAAATTCTTGATGTATTATTTCATAGGTAGTCAACTACTTAATGATATTTGGGGAAACTGGCATTTTTGGTAGGGCTGGATGAATTTTTTTTTCCATTTAAATAATATAAAATAAGGGATCTTTCTATCCAAAAATTCACTATCCAACCAGATTTCAGATTTAGATTAGAACAGATTAGATTTAGAAGATGAGAGATGCCATATTTACCTGGATAGTTCAGTTCAAATAGTCAATTTGAGAATCTAATGTAATCATCTTGGAATTTTGTGACTGTTTTTCCCTTTGCATGTCTTTTAAAGGTGGTGACATCTAACACTGATGTGATTTAAGTATTTTTCATAAGAGAAGCCCAATTTTTTTTTTAAAGATTTTATTTATTTGAGAGAGAGAATGAGAGAGAGAGAGCACATGAGAGGGGGGAGGATCAGAGGGAGAAGCAGACTCCCTGCCGAGCAAGGAGCCCGATGCGGGACTCGATCCCAGGACTCCAGGATCATGACCTGAGCCGAAGGCAGTCGCCCAACCAACTGAGCCACCCAGGCGCCCCGAAGCCTAATTTTGTGTACAATTAATTTTCTTATTATGACAAGCTAGTAAGTTTCGCTAGAATCCCAGGTAAGTGCTGGAAAGACCCTCAAAATTACTTTCCTTGCCCCAATTCCACATGTCCACCTCCCTCTCTCCCGTTTTTTTTTTCTGAAAGGAGGGGAAGACTAGTTCAGAGTAGCAAAGTTAGTTGACTTGCCAGAGGTCATGATTCATTAATAAGAGATGGATCAGTCCCCACTGCTCTTTAGCATTTGCATATATGGAACAGTTATATGTTCGTTATGAATGAACTTTTAACTGCCATGAACTTTTTGCTGGACAATCAGCACTGGGGGAAAAAAAAATCTTTGCTATAATCATCAACTGAAAATGTTCTTTAGTAAAACCAAAAATGAGGTATGCCATGTCATGGCTAAACTGCTCAGTTGACAATTGCTCTATTTGCAAATTTCACATGATGGTGTACAATTCTTAACATGAATATTAAGTTGAGGTGGATAGTTTTTTACTTTTCCAAATAAAATCTTGCCTTGCTTGTTCAGGAGTGTATAAATCATACTAGCTGGCTATAGTACAGATGCAAAGAATTTGAAATCTGAAAGGCGCCTTGGAGATCACCGTCCAGCTTCCTAATTTAACAGAAGCAAGGAGGCCTAGGGAAGATCCCAGCTAAACAGCAATACTATATATTTAAAACAAAGTTCCTTGTGTCGCGGTTGTTTGGGCTTTTTCAAATGTCTCCTTTAAAAAAGCACAGGCAGGGCACTTCCAGGCCAACTATCAGAAAATTCATACTCTATCGGTCTTATTTCTCTTTCTAGGTTGAGCTCAATTAAGATTTTGGTGACTATACACAAGAAGCCACTAATGTAAAACAAAAGGTTTGAAGGGCGGGCGGGAAAAATTTACCCAGAGTAGCAACTGAGAGACAAAGAGCCTCTCCCCGGCCCCGCCCCCTGATTCTCGCCAATAGCAACAGACGCGAGCCCTTGCTTTCCCGAGCCCGGCCAATCGGCTGCGCGGGCTGTGGCCCGACGGAAGGGGCGGGGCGGCCGTTGCCAGAGAAGCCACTTGATGGTTACTAGCTCCACTTTCGTCCCTCTTGCACCTGGGCGGGCACTCTTCCACCGCAAGCAGTTCTAGGAATTCGCCTCCTTGCCACCTCGCGTCCTTTCGCTTCCTTTCTAGCTTTCGCCTGCGGCACTGCCTCCTGCGTCCCCCTCTCTCCTAGCCGACCCAGGGCTGGAGAACACAGGTACGCTGGCGGTGGTTTCCACCACCGTTCGCTGAGCGTCATCTTTGCGGCCCCTTTGGACCCCTTCCACGGCGGAGCGGCGGCGGGCTGACGTCACGGCGGCGTGCTGACGCAGCGGTCGGGGCGTGGTCACGCTTTGGGGAGCGGGGAAGCTTGGGCTCGGACCGTCTCTCTGCGGTTACTGCAGACGCACTTAGGGGTTCGGGTGGTCCGGGCTGTTTGGGGGCCGTCCACCCAGAGCTAGACCTCAGCCCCTTTCTGCCCATACCTGCCACTTACCCCAGAATTGACTGCCTGGCCTGGGAAAAAGACGGCGAGGCTCGTATTCCTAGGGAGGGTGTGGTCCCCAGGACCCCAGGGTAGATCATAGTTGATGGGCTTGTCCAGAACGAAGCCCTTATCAGGTCGGCCCGGGCATGGTGGCGTCTCCTTCTGAAACAATTCCTCTTACTCATTTGGCTGGCTTTTAAGCGACCACCATATAAGATACCCGATTGTGGTAGGCCCTGGGGCTCCTTTAGTGAAGAATACTATGGGAGGCCTGGGAAATTAAGTCCTCCAGGTTCCTTCTAGGTTTCCGGACTCAATAGGAAACTCCTTCAAGTGTGTGGCCTTGGACCGGTCGGTCACTTAACTTTCCTGGCTTCAGTTTCCCTATCTGGAAGACGAGGGCAATAATAGTCACTTTGGGGTGGTTGTAATAAAAGAGATTAAGTAAACCAGTGTCAGGTTTTGAGTATAGGTAGTAAGGGTGCTTGTTGATTGAGAAAACCATAGCCACACTGGGGCAGGTATTTAGGATGTCTATTTCGGAGACAAAGTTTCCCTGTCATCTCGCCCATACTAAGGTTTCGGGTGTTTTTGAATTAATGAGGTTCTTGGAGTAGTTTTAAACACTACTTGCCTAGTTAAAGGAACAAACCACAGAAAACCTGTTTTTAAAATTAGTTTGCTTTCCTTCTCCTTAGAATAAGAATGTCATGGTCATGTTCCTAATTCTTTAACAGCTAGGTATCCATTTTCTGCCTCTCTTTCTTTTACTTTCACGGTTGATGTGTATAAATAATACGGTTTTTGTACCCAAAAAACCGAAAGGCATGAGAAAGTGGCTTTGTTTATATTGTACAAATGAATGAGACCCAAGGAGCTGAGTATAGCAATGAGGTTGACATAACATCTACCCACCAAACTCAATTCTTTTGGAAGTCAGTTGTTTTCCCGTGGGCTCTGGTTTAGTAGTACTCAATTTATGACTACTTCGTAGATGATTTGTAATGATTCTGTAAGGAACAGATCTTGAAAGAATTGTTTCGAAAAGTTGGTTTTATACAGATAACTCAGGCCTTCAAGTATTTTAAGGAATAGTGATTGACTCAGTATGATTTTTTTTTTTTTTTAAGATGAAAAAATTTAAAGAAAAGACCTGGTGGGAAAGCAACCCCAACAATGATCCAAAGGGACCCTAAATTAAAAAAAAAAACATTCAAACAAACAAAAAACCCCACCTGTAAGTGCTATTTCATTCTGTTCAAACCTCCCCACAGCTTTGGCTGGCAAAGTTTTTTTCTCATTATGTAGAAGAGGCAACTAAGGCCTGCTGTGGCTTAGAGTTGTCCATGTCAGGTGGTTCTAAGGACTAAGAACAGGTGAGTCTGGCCCAGTATTTCATTTTAATATGCTGCCTCTGGGTCATCAAGGAATGGTTAAATTATGTTCAGGCTACCTGTACTCTGAGGAAGAAGAAATAATACTTTCAGGAGGTTTTCTTCTAGCTCTCAAGTTAATTTTGGTACTTAAAGGGATAAGCTGTCATTTTCTGGAACAGGTATGTGGAGCAATCCATTCAGATGGTCATGGGTAAATGAAGAGTTATATTTGGTCACTTTCTGTACTGAATCTCTTGCTATTCTAATTCCTTCATTGTTTTTCAAGTTTGTTTGTTTGTTTGTTTTTATCACCAGTGGAAACAACTTTTGATTTCTTCAAAATTTTTTCTAGGAAAAGAACAGTGGAATTTCATTTCTCTGGGACCGTAATAACCGGTTTCACTGCTTCTACTCTTCTCCCCTCCATATACCTGGTCCATTCTCCAAAATACCACTAAATTTATCTTTTAAAGATGCACTTTTGATCTGTTATTATCCTGCTTAAAATGATTTAATGGTCTGTCTTAACCTTTAGGAAAAAATTCAAGCTTTTGAGCTTGGCATACAGTGACCACTTCATTGTGTCCAGTTTCATCCTTTGCCACTTGCCCTTGCAAATCATGTCCTTTCATGATTCCTTCCTCTTGCTTGTACTTGACCCTGTACCTATGCCTTTTTCTCTTTCTTTTTGTCATACTCACATTTGTTTTGCAGGACTCTACAATTCTTTAGTAAACTTTGACTAGTGTGAAGAATAGTGAGAGAGATGAGAAGCATTCCTATATCTACTTTGTGTTCTTTGCTGAATATTTCAGTGAATTTTTCAGGAGAAGTTGTGTGCTTTTGTTTGAAGCCAATGGGAGCTTGTTTTCCAAGAATTAATGTTTGGCAAAACAAATTGAAATCTGTGAGATTCTTATGCTTTTCTCTTTGGAGAGATTAGTTTTAAATATATATTTGCAGCTGGTTTATTTACTTAGAGCAATCTAGATGCTAAGGAAGGGCATGAGCTGGGATCTTTCTTTTCTCTGACCATGGCCAGCAGTATAGTCCCTGAACAGCCATCCCTCAAATGCTTATTGTTGGCCAAATGGAACATACTTTAGTGAGTGTAGCTGGGTCAGTGTAAACCATGACCACGCCTGGAAAAAGCTTTAAGTACATGCCTTTTTGATAGGGGACTGGTAAAGTCATCTCTGTATAGGAAATTTAATTCTTTAAACGTTAAAATATATTTAAGTTGCTAATCTTTAGGGGTTTGGTTATTAAATATGTGTGCAGAATATGTGTCTTTGTTTCACCACCAAGTTGTACAGGAGTATATTTGTCAATTGGGAGTATATTCCATGTAATTGAAAACATTTTCTTGTGAAACATCTTTTCCATAGAGGAATACATTTGGCTCACTAAAATGATAGCATTTTTTATAAAGGTAGGACTTTTTATGCTAAAGAAAATTGTTCAGCACACATATGTTTTTGGTTATAATATTGTCACAACACAAAAATAGTGGAGTGCCTTGGAAACTTTGAACAATTTTTATCCTGGAAAATATTTCTAGATTGTAAGAATATAATTGTTGATAATTTCTATGGATATATCTGAGACTTGACTTATATAGTTCTCTTTGTTTTGAGAATCAGTAATGAAGATAACATTTTTGAATGTTGGGCTAAGAGTCATTCTAAGATCTCTGTTTTTACAGTGTGTTAATTTTATTTGTTTACCCTTTAAGATAAGGCACAGTTACTTTTTACAGGTGATGAAGCAGAAAAATGTAGTATTTCATCTTGTGATAAAACTTTTAGAAAAATTGTATAAATAGCTGCCAATAGCCCACAGAGCCAAGTAAGAACTCATTTAAAATACTAATACCAAACTGAATCTTATAAAATATGCCTACCGGGGCACCTGGGTGGCTCAGTCGTTAAGCGTCTGCCTTCGGCTCAGGTCATGATCCCAGCGTCCTGGGATCAAGTCCCACATCGGGCTCCCTGCTCCGAGGGAAGCCTGCTTCTCCCTCTCCCACTCCCCCTGCTTGTGTTCCTGCTCTCGCTATCTCTCTCTCTGTCAAATAAATAAAATAAAAATCTTAAAAAAAAATAAAATATGCCTACCAATTGAAGATCCCTAATCCTCTTATATTTATTTTTGAATTTTTATTCAAAATATAGGAAACATTTTTCTTTTAATGATTCCCCCAAAAGATGAATCAATGAAGTGAATAAGTAAAAAGCAACTGCCTTTATTCATCGCATTAACTGCTCTAAGCCTTGAGTCCTCTCCTTCAATTACTGCTTAGCTTTTATACGGCTTGTAGCTGCTAAGGATTCAAATGTAAATAAGGTATTCTTTCTTGAGATTCCAGTGTGCAGAGCAAGAAATTTTAAACAAGTGAATGAATGAAAGGTAAATACCAGTTCCCCTGTGAGTGGGGTAGCTATTGGAACCAAACAAATCAGTAGATGATAGTACTGTTGATTGCAGTGATTTATCTAGATCATATTCTTCTTCACTCTTAGGTTTGGTTTTTCATTTGATTTTTTGTATCCATCTATTTTTAATTCTTCTTTAATTCTTTAAGACTTCAGATAGCTCAAAATACTGTTATGTCTTACCAACAGATGTTTCATATTTCAGCATTCAAGTAGATCATCTTAGGTATCTGTAGGTTAATTAGCAGTTCCAATTGTACATGAGTTGTTGGTATTTCAAAAATATGAGCATGCATTTCTTTGGTCTATATCCTAAATCCTTGTTTCTGTAGTGTATAGAACCTTCAGACAAAAATAGATGTATTTTTACAGACACTTTCAAAGTGTTATTTTAGAAATACAAGTAATTTTCAACTTATAATTTCTTCACATCTACTTAAATATTGAAAATTCTTGACCAAATGTATTGTAAAATACAGGTTTATAAAAATAAATTACAAAGAGGTAAAATATCTCTGAAAACCCTGAAGATCTTAAATATAACATTTGATTTTGTATAAATATAAAATGAAGTCAGGGAGACACATTACCATATATTAGAGTTGTGAAAACACAGCCTTAATGATTGCTAAAGCACTAATTTATTACTTAAAATGGAACAGTTCTGAAGGAATTCGTGCGTATTCCTGTTTAAAAAATGACACCGCTAAGTTTGAGTGAAAACAGTTGTTTAGTAAAACTTAGAAGTATCTGTCTATTTGTTACCACCACAGAGTATCCTAGATTGAGCTGGGAAATAGGAATAAATTAATTTAATTTTGTAAGGTCTACTTTCAAAAGAATAACAATCTTTTTGTAACTATTGTTGCCAAATACTTTGAAAAGTATATGAAATTTCTATTCTAGGCATACATAACATACATTTCCTATTGGGTAGATATAATGAAACTAAGGACCAGAGTTAACCGTAGTTTTTATATTTATTTTCTAGTTTGAGTGGATTAAGATACTATAATACTTCAAGAAATAGATTAATAAAAATTTCTACATTCTTGTGGTTATGTAGAAAATAACAGGCCTTTTGGAGAGTGTATGGAATTGGCAATTGTTGAATGCTTGGGCAATGCAATTTTGATACTTTTTGAATTAGTATCACAAATGAGTAGCAGTTATAATTTCTATTTTGTCTGTAAAATATAATTCTTTATACATGTTTAGGATTTTTATTTTATAGAGTAATGACAGAAAAAAGAACCTACTGAGATAAGTTTAATAACTAAAATATTTCCTAGCTTTCAGCTTATGAAGAAAAGTTGTTGTGGAAGCCACCTATAAATCCATTTACCAAATTTATGGAGAAGCCTTCAATTGATGGAAGTCATTCAGAGAAACTATGTTCTCATTTTACAAGTACACCAGAGGACGAACATTTACCACAGGCTGCCAGTGAAAGTCATCTCAGCTGGTATTTTCAATAATAGCAGGGGATATCTAATTTTCTGATTTCAACATTTCATGTTTTGTCCATACTGTAAATTATTTGAATCAAATACAGCATTCTTTCAAGAGTATCTTCTTCAAATCTAGCAATTCATATATTTATTTACCCTGATTACAAATCAGTACTCATTTAGCAGAATTGAGCTAGGTTTTTGAAATCTTAATGAAAGCAAATAAAAATGAAAGCCTTATCTATTGAGAATTATTAAAGTATTAAGCCTTATAGCTAAGATAAATGAAAATAGAAGTACTATGGAATGTTGGAAATGTAGTTGATGAGTACTAATTCACTGTCATTTGGAACATTGCTATATAACAAATACCTGTCATATTTTGCTATCTCCTTTAGAATAAGGAATACACGGGGTGCCTGAGTGGTTCAGTTGGTTGAGTGTTCAGCTCTTGATTTTGGTCAGGTCATGATCTCAGGGTCGTGGAATTGAGCCCCGTGTTGGGCTCCACGCTCAGTGGGGAGTCTGCTTGAGATTTTCTCTTTCCCTCTCCCTTTGCCCCTCCCCCCAAATAAATAAAATCTTAAAAAAAATAGGGAATACACTTGCTATTTATATGACTCATTGCTTACCAAGATGACAAGCTTTTTTTTTTGAAGATTTTATTTATTTATTTGAGAGAGAGAAAGAACACAAGCAGGAGGAGCAGCAGGCTCCCCGCTGAGCAGGGAGCCTGATGCAGGGCTTGATCCCATGACCCCGGGACCATGGCCTGAGCTGAAGGTAGACAGTAGACAACCAACTGAGCCACCCATGGGCCCCCAAAAATGACAGCCTCAAAACACCATTATTGTCACCATTGATAGTATAGTCCAGTTTCTATTTAGCTTGTTGTAAACAACAGTGATATTTTTTTTTTTTTTAAGATTTTTATTTATTTATTCATGAGAGACAGAGAGAGAGGCAGAGGGAGAAGCAGGCTCCCAAGGAGCAGGGAGCCCGATGCGGGACTCGATCCCAGGACACTGGGATCATGACCCGAGCCGAAGGCAGACGCTTAACCATCTGAGCCACCCAGGCGCCCAATGACAGTGATATTTGGTCATATATAACCATTCTTGACTTTCTTCTGCCCATGGTTTTTAATAATGGACAACTGTCATTTATAGCCAACATCTTACACCCATCATGTTAAGCCAGCAGTAATTAAGAACACAGTCTGCTTTCTGACATAGCCTCTAAGATCCCATCAGTTGTTGATGAGCCATTATATTGTTTTGTAAAGAAAGAAAAACTGCCTATTGAAGAAAGATACAATGCTTTCTTATGATTTATTTTGTTTATAAATATTGAAAAAGCTCCTTCAAACTTAATTATACATAGATTTTTGACTTCAAATAACTATGCTTTTAAAAAAATAAAAATAAAAAATAAAACGTAAGTGAAATAAAGTAGGGTATTCTCAAAATTTTTTTATACTCAATATCCAACTCTTAGTCACTTTTTGACTCAGAGTTGTCCTTGCTATTAAGAGTATTGGCGATTTGGCATTTCTTAGGACGATCTTTAACTGAACTAAAATTTATTGGTGCTGGGCTGTAATAATATTCAGCAAGCCTATATTGGAGTCTTGCTTCTGGAATGTTGCTAAACATTCCTAGTTCACCAGCTCCTTCAACCCCTCTATGGCCGTCCACTCCTAGGGGTTAAAAAGTGCTACACCCCATCTCTGGGGCATTCTTGAAAGCATTTGACACTTTTAGTTCTGGGCATGTGCAGGAAAGAGCTCAGGACTGCTTCTTAACAAAGATTACAGGAAGCATCCTGATTTCAGGATGTAAAAATGTAACCAAAGAGATATCTCTTACAGTGATACACAGTAGTGTCTAGGTAATCAAGAAGGCAAATATTAATAGTTTTGTTTTGAATGATGATAATGTATTATAAAGCCAAGTGTGAAGGATTTTTGCAATGTGGAGAGCTTTAGTTTTTTGTGTTCCGTTTGTTTAGCTTATTTGTTCTTCTGGAGGAATTTTTTTTGTGAAGAACAGCAAGTTTCAAGAAAGCATTTAGGAATAAGGTCTAATAGACAAATCTTTTGGGTTTGGAGTAGGGAGTAAAAAGGGAAGTAAAAAAGACATAAACACATTCACACAAATCATTTTACAAACCAGAAAAGAGATGTTGAACAATTACTAGTAGCACAGTGAAGCATTGCTGTTGGTGTTCTTGTGTTTTACATATCTAAACGTTTTAAAAACTTTCTCTCTGTATATTAAGTATAGAAAAATAGGGGAGTATAGGAAAAATTTCATACATTTTCAAGGACCATTTACTGTTATTTTGTGGAGAGCAATTTGTGGAACTGTAATATTTAGTTAACGCTGTGCTATATTTGCATAAAAAGTATAACTAGTTTATGTGACAGATTTAACTTAAATTTTATTTGTGCGTATCTAATTAGTCTAAAGCAGGACATCCTAAATGAAAAGACTGACCTGGAAGCAACATTTAAGGAAGCTGAGTTGGCAACCTGTTCTGTAGAATTATTTTTGCCATTATTTAAGGATACCGTTGAAGAGATTAGTTTTGAAAATGTGAGTACCTGACTTATGAACATCTAATAAAATAGACAGCTAGCATAATACTCAGAATGCATTAATTGCAGTCTTGTATCGAAACACAGTTATGCTCACATACTGGTATTTGATATTAAAAATTGCAGGTTTATCAGTCTCCTATGTCATTAGCTGCAATTCTTTTCTTCAGAGATAATCTCAGGCATGCACTTGTTAAGAGGCTAACCTTGGTGCTTAACTTATCCAAAATTGAACTAGAGAGTCAACTATTTCAAGAGTGAATTTAAACAAATATTCTAAGAGATGAAATATATCTATTTTCTATAGTTTTGTATAGAATAGAAACCTGTATTCTAAAATTTCAGTGTACTGAAGTTTGAGTTAGAGACAAAAATAGATTGTATTCTATTAGTTTCATTAAAATAAATGCCTGAAACACTTCGGGGTTTAAGCCCTTATTTTGATTTCATTACTTTAATATACAATGTACTTTATTTATTTATTTATTTATTTTAAAGATTTTATTTATTTGACAGAGAAAGACAGCTAGAGAGGAAACACAAGCAGGGCGAGTGGGAGAGGGAGAAGCAGGCTCCTGGCTGAGCAGGGAACCCGATGTGGGGATCGATCCCAGGACCCTGGGATCATGACCTGAGCCGAAGGCAGACGCTTAACGACTGAGCCACCCAGGCGCCCCTGTGCAATGTACTTTAATGTACTATTAATAAGCTTGGCAAAATTTACTCTTACTATATGCAAAAATGATTTTGTTACTAGGATAAAGTATTCTTTGATAATAGCAATGTTGTATTTTAGAGTGTCTTAATGCTGTATCTTTTTAGATTTTTTTTTTTTTAAATGCTGTATCTTAAAATGGGTATGTGGTTCTTATATTTTGTCAGGCTAATCTTTTTGCATCCAATTTGAAGAAGATTTCTGAACAGAAGGAAATATTAACAAAAGAATTAGACACTTTTAAACGTGTAAAACAAGCTTTAGAACATCTTAGAAAGACAGAATACCAACAAGTAAGGACCCCTAAGCACTAATTTAATAGATATATTTCTCACTTGAAGGATTTGCTATTTCTGAAACTGTAGAAATTGAATTATTGGTATATTTGAAATGGAAATAATTCTTGAATTTTCGTTTGAAATGTCAATCATGAAACTAACCCTTACTCTTAACGTTTCACAAATAGTTCTACATGAAAGCAGCATGTTTTTATAGAAAATATATTTGTATTTTCTATCTCAGAATTTTTCATTGTTATATTTCATTTCAGCTGATGAAAATAAAATTTTCTTAGAATTTAAGCTCCATTGTACCATTGTATTCATACATTCATTTATTTTTGGGGTTAGCAGTTTGTTGAGAGATAATTCACATATTCACCCATTTAAAGTGCACACTTCAGTGATTTTGAGTGTATTTGCAGAACTGTGCAGCAATCCCCACAGTCAATGTTAGAGCATTTTCATCACCACAAAAAGAACTCCACCCCCCCCCCCCCCCAGGTCCTTTAGAAGTTCGCCTACCTCCCAACCCCACTCACCCCTCCTTACCCTATTATTTCCTTTCTGTTTTTATGAATTTGCTCATTCTGGAAATTTCATGTAAATAGATTCATATAAAATGTGGTTCTTCATAACCACCTTTCATTTAGCGTAGTGCCTTCAAGGTCAAATATGTTGTAGCACATGTCAGTGCTTCATTCCTCTTTATTGCTGAATAATATTTCATTGTATGGCTATTCCATTTTTATTTGTCCATTCCTCAGTTGATGGATATTTAGGTTGCTTCAGTTTTTGGCTGTTATGCATAAAGCTGCTGTGAACATTTATTTACAAGTTGTTTATATCCAAGAGAAATGAAAATATATGTATGCCAAGCAATTCCACTGTGTCCTTCTACAGAGTCCCAAGAGTGGGCTTCATGCAGTCCATGAAATTGTGTATGCAATTTTGCATTAGATGTACATGGCACAAATACTTTTGGGTGAAAGGAATTCATAGCTTTTCACATTCCCAAGCAGGAGTGTGACCCTCAAAGTGAATAAACATTTTTCTATGTTCTCATTTAAAATATCTACATAGAATTCTTTTACTAATGTGCTGTGATTCTTTAAAAATAATCTTACTTGCTAAAATTAAGGTGGTTTATATTTTTTACCTATTTATAAGCAGCATGGTGAGCTTCCTTTGTATACAAGACTTTTGTGGTTTTTGTGTCATTGGCTTGTGTTGTCTGAGGTGTTATTTAGAAATTAGTATATAATTTCATAAACTGGACAAAAGATGATTTGGAACACTTAGGCAAAAATCCATCTGATGACCTCTTTAAAAATCTGAACTGTGCATAATAGTTGTCTGTATTAATTTCTTAAGTGATGCTTATTCCTCTTCCTACTTTTATATGTAGAGAACTATGTTTGTCAATACTGATTTATAATATCTTTTTTTCATAGGTAGGGGACAGTTTATCCAGCATGTTAGAGAAGCTAACTGATAATGAAAGTGAAAATACTGTAAGTCTTTTTATACTTTGTGTCTACTCTGACATTTTTTATTTATATGTTGCTTGGTTTTATAAAATTAGCCAACATTGTCCAAATTGTGATATTTCTAACTCTTACATTATATTTGCTGAAGAATCTTAAGAAGAAGGTACTTGAAAAGGAGACCTATATTCAAGAACTTTCTTGTTTGTTTCAGAATGAAAAGGTAAGCAAATTTTGAGCTTAATCCATCATATTTTCTTAATATTGACTCCCTCTTTTCCTTCTTTCCATCCTGGCCCCCATATCCTCAGAAATAGACACAGAAGTGTTTTTACATTATTTGGATATTTTACAAGTTTTTTTAGTTTCTTTTTAAAAGATTTTTATGGTCTTTAAGTCAGGGTAATTGCATAAATCACTATATATTAGGAACTATGAATAGATTTGTATCTCAATTTTAGTATAAATTAAGGAATTTTAGTGTTTATAGGAGCATTTTAGATATAATTTACTTAGGATAGGTAGGAATTTTTAAAAGGAGATTATCAGGAGCCATTAAATAAAAGGGGGGAGGGGAAAATAGCCCCATAGTTTTATGTACAATTTATAATGGAGGGGTCATGGTTAATGTAAAGTGGTGCTTTGCTTTTTATCAACTTTTTAGATCATGTCTAAATATGGATAAAGTTAAAGATTGTGGAGAAATATATCAAATAACACATTTTTTTTGTTTTCTATGTTACAGGCAAATGCTTTGAAAGCAAACCGTTTTTCACAATCAGTAAAAGTAGTACATGAACGACTACAGCTCCAAATTCATAAAAAGGAAGCAGAGAATGATAAATTAAAAGGATACATAAAGGTTATAAATATTCAGTCATTTTTATAGTTTAAGTGATAAAATTAATGAACAACTATAAAGCCCTTCCTTAGTTCTGGAATTTGGTGGTTTTGGAAGAATTCAATTTAAGTGTTGCCATGGGAAATACATATCTGAGGCAGATCTTAAGATTTCTGGCCCATCTAAAGATTTAGTTCTAAATCCCAAGATAGAAATGCTCTCTCTCTTTAATACCAGTCTAGGAAGGATTTATAGAGCTTGAATTAAAAAAAAAAAAATCTTTCCCATTATATAGTTAATTTATGTTTATTGTGGAAAATTTGTAAAATACAAAGGAAAAAATTAAAATAATTTAAAAATACTGAAACCATTATTAATATTTTGGGATATAGTATTCCTGTCTATTTTCTACATCTACACATAAATACATACTCACATTTAGTAGGCAGTCAGTAAATGCTTATTATTTTTTGTTTGTCATGAATGGTAACAACCCTAAAATCAGTTACTTAGCTTTGGTGTTTAGAAAACTGAGTAACATTCTTGTCATGCAGTTTTTTTAGCAGTGTCATTAAGGGGAATATTTTGGTTTAAACTCAGTGGTTTTAATACTCTTCTGGAAGCCTCACAGGCACTTTGAAATAAGAACTTGAGGTCACTATGACATGACACAAGCTGACTGGATCTATTGTCATTATTTTTGCCAAAGGAAAAGAAGCAGTGTTCTCACTTGGAGAAGAGAAGTGTACAGTGATAACCCCCTGGAGTGTGAGGACATCGGTGTTAAATTTCTCTTTGCTTTTGCACTCCTGAATCATGGCAAATGTTTGCAACCTGTAGCATGTTTCAAGACTGCGCTTGGGGTGTTTTGGTTTTTGTTTTTCTTCAAGGATGAAAAGCTTTTGCCCAGTAAGGGGACATTAAGCAGGCTTATGCGGAGTGTAAATTTTATCCTTTGTCCTCCTACCTGTGCTTTTTAAGCAGTTTCCCCCATTGGTTCCCTGTGTCGTTTGTATGGGAGTCCTAGGGCATTACAGATGAACTAGAGTTGATATTGCATTAGCCTGTCATGGTAAATACAATAGAATACATGTGATTTAACACCTCAGATAATCATCTGTCACAATTTATCTTACACAAGTTTTAGTTATGTCCTCAAATAGCATTTGGGAAATTTTTGAAAACATTTTCTTCAATTTAAAAATGAAATATTAAGTGATATTTTAAAGTTAATTTTAACAATTTCATATGATAATTTAGAGAATATAAGACTAAAATCTTAAGATTTTGCCATGACATTCTTCTAATACTTTAAATTCCTTTACAAAAACCCTGCTGTTTAGAAATAATTACAAGAGTTGCATTAGGTTACTGATTTTTCTACCCTCCCTGTAACATACAATTTTTGAATTTAAGGCATTAAGTTATTGGGGTGGGGGGCGGTCAGAATTTAGTTCTTCAATTTAGGTTTCACAAGGTTCTTTTTGGAGTACAAAGATAATGAACTCAGTTTGGCAACATAAATCTCATTTAATATTTTAGTTTTGACTCCAGTGAGTCAATTCATTTTAATAGGTCTTGAAAAATTTACGTTTTAGTTCTCTGAGAAGTATTCCAAAGATACTTTAACCCATTTTTCTTTCAAGATCTTTATAATATAGCAGTTAGGAATAAATATTTTCACAATTTAGAAGAAACAGAATAATTATCTTTATAATATGCAGCATGTAGAGCTCCTTGGAAATAAGGAAAGGCAAATAGTTGACTTTACATGTATGTCCATTCGTTTGGCAAGAGACTGCGAAGAGTCATTTATTTTGAAACCATAAAAATAATTTGATAGTTTAGTATACTTCCTAATAGTGCTCAAATGTGGGATAGGATAAATCTAGTGAGGAAGTTCTGACTGGAATCTTGTTCCAAAGGATTTATTTCACCTTGGTGTTTAAAATGCTTTATGAAAGTGTAGCAATTATTCATGGTGTGCTGATGACACCCTGTGGTTTCCTAGAGGAATGGCAGCTGTACTTCCTGTGGAGTCTATTCTCTTCAGTAGACTTGTACTGCTCTTAATCATACTTGTTTTCCCCCAACAACTTATTAAAACATTTCATGGGATTTTTTTAGTTTAAGTAGACTTCTAGAGACTCTTTAACAGTATTTTTTTTTTAAGATTTTATTTATTTGTCAGAGAGAGAGCACGAGCAGGAGGAGCAGTAGGGAGAGGGAGAAGCAGGCTCCCTGCGGAATAGGGAGCCTGATGTGGGACTCGATCCCAGGACCCTGGGATAATGACCTGAGACGAAGGCAGACGCTTAACCGACTGAGCCACCCAGGCGCCCCTGTTTAACAGTATTTTATTGCTTGTCTTAATCTACCGAGTGCACTTTTCAAAGAGGGCTAGTCTTTAAATCTTATTTAATATGTACTTCTTAATCTAAATTCTAGTGGAAGTTAAGAAGCATAGTTTTTATTGATCATGGAGTTAAGTAGAAAACCCAGTCTTTTACTTTGACTCCTTTGATTTTTTTCATTAAAATGATTGTCTAAGAAATGTTAAACTAAAACCTAAATTCTGTAATATTTTTTTTTTCAGTATTATACAACTTTCAAAAAATGTAAAAGCATTAAAGCCTTAGGTCTCTAAATTCTTAGATATTTAGTAGTCAAATACTTTAAATACAAAGCCTTAAAATAATTTGAAATAAAAGCATGAGAGTTATCAAACTAAATCATATCCATCATCCACCCAGCCTATTATTCTGTCTCTAGTTATGTAAGGAAACAGTCATGCCCAATTAACACCATCAATTTCAATGGATAGAAACATGCCCCTCAAACATCTTTTCACCCTTACTGTTGTGGATCTGATAGTTATTCATCTAAACCTCTTCAGTCTTGGAATAGTAACTTCCATAAGGTTACTACTCATTGGATAAAGCAGTACTTTTATTCCCCTTGATGTATGTAACTCTTTTAAATGTCAAGGCATGCCCCTTAATTCTAGTAAATTAAAATTTGCAAAATAAGTCTATCTCATCTACATTTTTTGTGATCTATAGATTTTGATCTTACGTCCTTTAAGCCTTTATCATTTCAACTGAAAAGCCCTGACATATGTAGGGAGCTACTGATTCCTTTGAGCTTTGTGTAATTTGTTTGAATTGTCTCCAGCTCAATTACAGTTTTTGATTTTCAGTAACTAGTACTATGTATAATATTCTAGATGTGAAATTTTAACAAGTTCTAGTTAATTACAAAAGTTTAAAAAATGTGCTGTAATCACCAATATTAGTATCTTTAATAAGAGTAGGATTAGTTTTATGTAGGCTTATATATTTTAAATTTGCATTCTATAATGTTACAAATAAACATTGGTGAAACCACCTTTCTTTACTGTTTTGCTTTTTATTAGTCCTATGATTAATCCTTTTGATAAAATCTATGGAAGATTATTTACATATTTTTACAATGTTGACATAAACATTGGAGTTCTAAAATAATTTAAGTACTACTAATATTTTTTTAGAGCTTAGAAACCAAGATAACTGAATGGAACTTACAACTGAGAAAGAATAAGCACGAAGCTGTAGCAATGAAAGAATCAAGCAAGCAAAAAACTATAGCTCTAAAAAAGGCATCTAAAATTTACAGACAAAGGCTTAAACACTTTACTGGAGACACGGAAAACCTTACCTCCCAAATCAGAGATCAGGTAAGTTTATACATTCTTCCTTAACTGTCCTATGCCCTTAGGTTATGTAGTTAATGTCATATTGCTTAATATAATAATCTTCTCTTAGTGCTACTGATACTAGGAAAACCTCACTCACACTCTTTTGCTTTAGTCTGTGTTGAAAGGTTATAGAAAATGTCACATTTGCATATTGAATTATATCAGTATTTCCTTGGGAACTTTATTAAAGGATATATTAAAAGTGTCCTAGTGCATCTATAGCAATCTAAGGGTAGCACTTCATACATATTCCCCCTTGGAAATGGACAGTGTACATTAGCATATTAAAGGCCCTGAGTAGGCAAAGTAGAAGAGCATAATGAAGAGTTTTGAACTCAGAGTTTCTCACCACTTATTTAACCACAGAACTCTTGTTTTACCCACAAAACAGCTCTTGGAACTGGTTCTAAGGAACACCAGTTTGGGAAATGCTGATTTATGTTATTAGACCATATGACTGTATTCAGTAATTCACTTCATTTGAACTTTGTAATGCACTTAAAGCCATTCACTGACGTAAACACACCATGTGAAAGTTATCTTTGGGTGTAGTACAAAGTTGAAAACTGGACTTAGTGCTTTGTTGTTTTTGTTGAATTATTGTATTTATTCAATTAGCAATTGATAAAATATTTACTCTTTTTAATGTCTCATGGGTATTCCACCTCTTAAGAACTGATGTTAAGGCTTATAGAATTATTAGAAGCTTTTAGAAATGAAAGTGGACTTGCATAAACTTTCTTGTGTAAACAAAACAACTTGATATTTTATAAACTCAGGTGTTAACACTTAAAGATGAACGACATTCAGAAGAATCTAACTAGACAAAAAGAATTAAGGACTAAGTTCAAAATCTACAAGGTCATTAGACTGAGTTGAATGCCTGAAAATATTGTTGAGTGGTGAAAGCTAATCAAGTCATTAACATTCTCAGGATTTTCCTGTTTAGATAACATCATGTCACGCATACCCCAGATCATGGTATAGGAAGGCTCTTCTGCTTGTTCATCTTGTGACTTTGGGTGAGGTATTTAACCTCTCTAAGATTCTGTTTCCTCATCTATAAAATAGGAGATAATAATATTCCTATTTCATATGATTGTAGAGAGGACTAAATGAGGAAATATATATCAAAGCACAGTGCCTGGCCATCCTACAATTTTGCCATAGTGGCCTCCTTTCTATTCCTCTAATGAGTAGAGTTTTATTGTTTGCTGTTATCTCTGGCTGTAATGTTCTTCTTGGATTCACAATAGCTGGTTCTTTTTTGATCATTCAGGTATCTTTTTAATTGTCATCTCTTCAGAGGGGCCTTCCTTGACCACTCCTTTTGAAGTAGTCCCACAACAGTCACATCATATCTTGAATTCCCTTCATAGCATTCATTTTATAGATAAAATTTCCGAGTATCTTTACATTATAGTATATTGCCTAACTTACACTTCATATATATATATATATATATATCCCAACTTATATACTTCATTGTGCAAATTAAAATTCATTTTACATAAAATATGAAAACAGAATACTAGGCTTTATTCAATGTATCAACAACATTACTGTAAAAAAGTATAAGCCAAAAAAGTCTTGCATATAGTACATGCTAAATAAATGCTTGTTCTGTGACTGGATGAATGATAGAAGGAAAGAAAGAAGCCCCCAATAAATACTGTCTGCTATCATTATTACTTCTGGGTCTTCTGATTAATAATTGTTATTGTCCTCCCAGTGAGTTTGTCGTCCTGTAGAATGTAGACAGGGGACACAATGACTATAGCTCACTAGGTGGGTTTGTAAAGAGTAAATTCATTTGACAGTTATTTATTGAGCATCTTCTGTATGCCAGGCACTTTCAAGGCCCTAGCAATGAACAAAACACAAAAATCTCTACCTCAGGGAGCTCACATTCAAAGTCGACAAGCCACTACTATAGTTTTCATGTCTTTGTTGACAGTAACAATGTTTGAAGGTCAATGGGGGTGACCTCTACAAAACAGCTTGACATCATTATAGCAACAATAAATAAGGCTGCATTATTAAATGCTATGGAATTAGGGAATTGCAGATAGCTTCTATATATATCAAAAGAGGGCTTCCTTCTCCTCTGATGCTTATGTGGTTGTTATCATCTTCTATATATAGAATGCAAAATGAAAAGCTCAAGAAATAGGAAGGAAGTTACCTTCACTAATTATGAAACATTGTTTGAAAATAGTTATATCAACATCCTTAAAATGTAGTGTTGGAACTGCCACAATGCGCGTTAAAACAATACTACTATAAAGATCCTATCAACATTTACTTTAAAAGTTTCCTATATTCAGAGTTGTACACTAAAATTTTCCATATCGAAAAATCCATCCTTTATAGGATGTTTCCTTGTTTATATTGTATTTGTGTTTAGAGCCCTGCACGAAACCAAAGTGTTACTCAATTATCAGATGAGTACTTGATGTATTTTTTAGGAAGCCAAGCTGTCTGAAACAATTTCAGCTTCCAATGCCTGGAAAAGTCATTATGAGAAAATTCTAATAGAAAAAACTGAATTGGAAGTTCAGATTGAAACAATGCAAAAGTAAGAAAAAAATTTAGAATCTTTGTACGGGTTAATAAGAAGTGTTTTCAGTTCCTTCCTCTTTAAGCACTTTGCATTTTGGTTCTTCTGGATTACATGTGAAGGTTGTCCATATGATTCGATATTTTTGCTATTTATAATTTTAAAGACTTTTCTTATTCTATTCTAAAAATACAATAAAATGATTACCCACTAAAAAGTGCATTGGTGTTCACATTTTGAATTTTGTAGGTTAGTATTTGGAATTGGGTATGTGTCATCTATTATTTGCAGTTAAATGTTAACACTACTTTGTCTTAAAATGGAAGTGATAGTTCTCTACCAAACAAGAATGTGTAAGTAAGAATATATAACAGAGCTTACAATAACAGCACAAATGCTTTCAAAATTCTAAAAATTACTGTTCCTTAAAGTGCCTTAATTGCATAACAAAGAAAATCAATGAGTAAAAATGCTTATCTTTTATGCTTTGAAATTTATTACTGATAAACTAATAGTAATGAACCCTGCACATTTGTTTTTAAATGTTTTATTTTCTGTATATTCTCTTCAGTTTTATCATTGTAAACTAGCATGTATAATTCGCTTCTAGAGGTGAGTTATTGCCTCACTTGATCCTTTTATTTAACCTTGGTCTTGAGATTGTGTGTATGTATGTGCATGTGTGTGAATGAGAGACAGATGGCCACTGAGATAATAGTTCAGATATTTTACTGAATAGCAAAGGGAATGGTGTGCAATTTTTCATTGGCGTCCTCAGTGAGTAAATATTGCTAATCAAGGTTTTGAGGGTAGTAGCCTGGCAGATAACTGCTTCCTGTTCACTTTGTTCTGTGACTTGTACTAACTTTAAAACCACGTTACCCTAGCAACATAATTTCAGAAACACACTTAAAAAGTATTATTTGAATGAAAATTTCTATGACTTTTATAAAATATATCATTTATCTCATAAAGGCAAGTTACAAATCTTTTGGAAGACCTGAAGAAAGTGGAAGACCTTGGAAAAAATTCATGTGAAGAAATTCTTAGAAAACTTCACTCAATTGAATATGAAAATGAAACTCTGAATCTTGAGAATACAAAATTAAAGGTAATGTGTGTCCTGGGGCGATGGCTGGCTCAGTTGGTGGAGCATGCAGCTCTTGATCTCGGGGTTGTGAGTTTGAACTCCATATTGGGTGTAGAGATTACTTAAAAATAAAATCTTTTTTTTTTTTTTTTTAAGGTAATGTGTGTTCGTGTGTGTATGTGAGTATATTGTCCAATGACAACTTAGTAGAAGTAGCTGGAATGGTTGCGTGATTAGGATAGTGCTCTTGTGTCATTTTGACCTTTACGTTTGTAAGGGTATTAGAAGATCATTATAATATGCAACTTCTAAAGCTACAGATATATCCATATTTATATATCTATATATACACATATAGACACACATATTTGTATATAGATTTTTAAGTGTTTATAGTTGTATATACACAGATATATGTTAAAGTTGTTTTCAGCAATATTAAATAAGATTTATTAGGTTGAATAACTGTCTCGACTTCTAAAAACTTTATTTGTTCTTCAGTTTTAGCTGTTGAATCATCCAAAATTACATTAACTTTAATGCATAAGATTTTTTTCTAGGTGTCATGGTTACGATAGGATATAACCTCAGGCCTGGTCTGTTTGAAACCAGAAAGTATGTTCCTGGCTGCTTCATAACCAGAAAGAATTTTCCAACTTAATCAAATCCAAGGGGTGATTGGTTTGTATGTGTACCAGAGAAAAAAATGGGGAAGAAGTTTTTATACTTTCTGAGAAAAAAAAAATTGAGTTCTCACTTAGAGATACAAGTAACCAGATGAGACTTGGTTAAAGATGACTGCATCGGGGCTCCTGGGTGGCCCAGTCAGTTAGGCATCTGCCTTCAGCTCAGGTCATGATCCTGGGGTCCTGGGATGGAGCCCTGCATCAGACTCCCTGCTCAGCGGGGAGTCTGCTTCTCCTTCTCACTCTCCCTCTGTGTCTCCCTCTCTCTTTCTCGCTCTCAAATAAGTAAAATCTTAAAAAAAAAAAAAAGATGACAGCATCATTTTCAGCTCTTTAATACTATTTTTGGAGGATCGTAAATAGAACCCAGAAAAGAATCTATGTAAAAAGGCCAGAGTTGGCAGTTCAAAGCAGATATGGCATCAGAGAACCAACCCTCTTTTTAGCTCTCTCTTCTGCCATTCCTAGGTTATGACCCTCATGATCCAAAATGATTGCTGGAGATTGCCAGGGGGAAAAGATGAGTTATAGCCCACCCCCCTTTTTTTTTCATCTCCCCTTAGGGAGACTTCCTGTAAGTTCCATACCACTCTACTCTTCTACTTATTCAGGCACACGGCCCCAACTAAGTGCAAGGGAGACTAGGAAATGTAGTCTTCTAGTTATCCTGGGCTCTAGCCAAATATGAGTACTCATTATTTCCTGCAATTTGTTCATGTTTTCCTGTATCTCTTCCTGTAGTTTTACTATATTTACAGTTTGGAATCATTTTTCCTAGTACCTAAGACCTACCTTAGTTCAGCTCAAGTGCTACCTCCTCCCCAAAGTCTTTTCAATCAGGATGAGTCTCTGTAAACTCCCATCTTTATATGCCCAGAATGCCCAGGGAAGATATGACATACACTTAGCTCTCCATGAATATTTATTGGAAACAATTTTGTTATGTTTATTTTCTTAATTTCCTTGATAACCTTCAGAGAGAAAGGATTAAAATAATATTTCATCAATTATAAATCTAATTTTTAATCAAATGGTAAGTAGAATTAATTTTAAATTACATAGGTATGAGAATCATTGGGTTAAAGTTTACATCTTATATTCTGTTAATAATTCAGAAACATGTATTTTTAATGTATTATTCTTTGGATTTTTGTTTAAGGAAAAAAACCTAGGTGTGTTTGGCATATGTTTCTGTAATGTAAAATTGCCTAGATGTATTTTGTTACTTTTAATGACTTTAGAATAATTTTAGATTTTAAAACATTTCAAATGAAAAAAGAATCTAGCTGATACTGCTTCCAAGACCCAGTGACCTCTTCTCTTGAAATTATAAGAGTTTATTTGGATGGTTGTAAGTTCTATTTGTTCACTATGAAGAGCTGAAAAAAACCAGAAAAGCATAAAAGGAAAAATTTAAAAATCACTTGTCATCTCACAGCTCAAAGAAACTGAAGTTACCATTTTAGCATATAGTTTTGGGGATTTTGGACTAGTTCCAGTGTTTTGCTACTATAAATAAAAATGTGGGTAGTTTCTTTGAGTCTTTTTGCCTGTTTTCTTAGGATAAATTTCTAGGATTGTAATTATATGGTCAAAAGGGAGGCTCATTTTTGGTGTTATATATTTCCAAATTACCCATCATATGGGTCACTATATTTTTCCCAGTACTAGACAATTTTAAAACAAATCTCTCCCAATTTGCTAGGTGATCTCATCTAGTGTTGGGCCTTTAATTACCGTCTATATCCTGGGGGCTCTCAAATTTGTATCTCTAGCCTAGACCTTGCCCCTGAATTCCAGACATATCTTCTATTGCCTACTCGAAATCTCCACTTAGATATTTAACATGTGTCTCAAAGTTAGCATGTTTAAAATAGAGCTCCTGTATTCCCCCAAATGGCTCATCTACAGTTGTCCGCATCTCAGTTAACAACAATTATCCGACCTTTCATCTGGTGTCATCCTTGACTCCTTTCTCTCCCACCTGCTTCCAGTCTGTCAACAGATCTCCTTCACATGGATGTAGGATTTGACCACCTCTCCCCAGCACCACTGCTGTTGTCTTGGTTTAAGCAACCATCATCTCATAGTTGCGGTGACTTCCTGACCCCCCTTTGCGTCCACCCTCGCCGCTGCAGTCAGCTTTCAGTGCAGCATAGCGTAGTTCCCATACAAATGTAAGTCAGACCATGTCACTGCTCCACCCAAAACCCTCCAATCATATCTGGTTAATAAACACAAAGCATTGTTCCATCTGGCTTTCCAGTACTTCACTGACCTCATCTCCTTCCATTCTCCCCTTTGTTTTCTCCCTTCCTGCCACATTAGCCTTGCTGTTTTTCCCCTAACTGGCCAGGGCTTGTCCCACTGTTGCCGTTCTCTGTGGGAATTCTCTTCCCTCAAAGAGCCACACTTCCTTTCAGTGTTTGCTCAGAGGTCCCTTTCTCCGGAGGCCTCCCTGGCCCGTCCCCAACATGTCATTCCTATCCTGCTTTTGTGTATGATCTGTTTTACTTCATATTCTTGTTTTTTGTTCATCTATCCCCTTTGTGTCTGTCTATATGTGGAGTACATAAGCCCCATGAAGGAAGGGATTTTTTGATTCTTTCATTCATTAATAAAGGAATATCCAGTGTCTAGAGCATTTTTCAATAACTAGTAAATGTTTTTTCATGTATTTTTCTATCATGTACATTTCTGTCATTATGAATTACCTATGCATTATCCTTTATATGTCTTTTTTTCTAATTAATATTAAGAACCCTGTACTAAGGGTATTAATCTTTTGTCATAATTTGTTACTCTCTTTTACATTTTATTTGCCTCTTAAATTTTTTGAGGGGGCAATGAAATTTAGAGAGATATATTTACACACATGTATCGATACATCTTTTTTTTCTTTTATGGCTTCTGTTAAGTCTGTCACATTTCTGCGTATCGTATAAATAGAAGCACTGACTGCCTGCAATCCAGACATTCTTTTCAAGGATGTATAGTGAGCATCCTTGGAAGATGGCCATGTTTTACCAAAGGGTAGACGTGCTTACTGCCTGTTAGGAGAGATCTGGGTTCCCTAAACTCGGGGTTGCTCCTCCGCAGTGCATCCCACTGCGTGTGCAGGTGGCATCTGGCCCTCATTGTGTCGCTCTAGGGGAACCGGGGCTTGGGAGACAAATGCACATCTGACATCTGGCTACTGCTCTTGCTGTAACCAAGTTTTGTGTCTCTGACCCAGGAGTCTCAACGTCTTCTGCTAATATGTGTGAAACTGTTCCAGGCTCACTTGTCAACTTGGAGGGTAAAATCCCAAACCCTTACAGTGCTTGATATCTTCTTCTGATTTTATGCTTAGTAGGGGTTTTGCTATCCTAAAATCAAAATTTTAGCTGTATCTTCTGTGAAAAATTTTAAAACTTTATTTTTAAAATATAAGTAAATATAGAAAATAATGTTGGGTGGAGGCAAGTAGTTCATCCATTTTTTCTTTCTAATAGTTAAACAGTTGTCTTATTACCATTATTTAGTGATCCATATTTTCCTCATTGATTTAAAAATTCAATCTTTATCATATACTAAATATAACTTTAGTGTATTTTTCTTTTTCTGTTCCATTGACCTCTATATTCTTACGTTGGTATCTTGAAATTTTTAGTTCTTGATACATCTTAATATCTAATACGTACTGAGATTCTCTACCTTAATATTCCTTTCAGAATTATATTAGTCTTTCCCATTTATTTTTCTGTATGAGTTTTAAAATTAATTTTTTCATATTCCCCCTCCTCCCAACTATTATGCTTTTGGTTGAAATTGCATTTAAAGTGTTACCCATTTGGAAAAAACTGATATGTCAAATAGTATGAGTCTTCCCATCTAAGAACATGGTATTTTAAAAGTTTTAGAAAAATTTAAAAAATATATGTCTTACATACAAGTCTTAGTATAGTTACTCATGAATATTACTGACTTTTGAAAATACTTAAATTGAAGTGGTAATTATATGGAGTAACAGTGATTATTAACCTTTCGATAAATGAGTTATGTTTTTATAATCCTAACACTGGAGTATAAATGAATTCTAATGATTTACAAAATCTATTTATATTTTCCTTGCTAGACTACACTTGATGCTTTGAAGGATGAGGTGGTTTCTGTTGAAAATGAACTTTTAGAATTGCAAGAAGTAGAAAAACAACAGAAGACCCTTATTGAAGTATATAAAACTCAGGTGATTATTGCACTGATTTTATTGTTAAATTTTGTAGGCAATTTAAAACACTGTATTTTTTTTATGATCTAAATAAGCAGAACTGAAGAAAGGTAGAGCTATTATTTTATGATAGAATATATGTCCCATATATTTCTTAAGGTCCCACATATTTTTATAAGTAGATGATTCTGCTGACTCCTGATTCAAACATTGACTGTGTATGTATTGGCTATTCCTAAAAGTAGATCTAAAGTTAATTATGTAGATGTAATATAAATCTTATGAATAATATTGTTAAACTTAGTATATTGTCATCTTGGATATTTAATGGCATTGATTTAGAATAATAACTCCCTTCTAGGGTCATTAAAACTCAGTACTCCCTTTTTCCCAATAAATAAAATAAAATTCTGATTTGCTCACATGAAAGACCTGGATAAGAGTTGTGAAAATACATATGGAATAGAGCTGTGTTCAATGGCAGTTTATAGAAAACCTTATGTTTTGGAAACTTTGTAGTATTCAAGAAAAACTTTACGAGATGCAGGTCCCTAATGATGGTAACAAACTGGTCAATAAAGAGCTGGGTTTTACTGGAAAAGAGAGCATTTGCCTTAAAGAATAATGAACTAAAGATAAAAGCTTAAGGAGGGCATCCTGTTGATAAGTAGGAAGGAAGTTCATCTGGATGTTAAGATGGAAAGATGGAGTCAAGACATCTAGTTAGAATCCTGCGGTCATGTGGAACTTACCAGAGGTAGGATGGAGGTTGTGGTGGACTGTGGGCCTGTTACTGAGAATGTCAGCTGGGTCGTCCAGCTGGGTGTTTGGGTTTAATCCCTCAGCAAGAATGATGTGCATGTTCTAGGCTCTGGGCTTTGTATAAAGGCCTCAGATTTTTTTTTTTTTTAAGCATTGTTTTAAGTGTAAAATAATTGGTATGGGAGCTAGTTTGGACCAGAGATTGATTTTTTTTTTTAAGAAAACAAAAATGTATTTTATTTTGTTATAATAAATGTGACTTTTCCCAAAACTGCATGTGGACATACATGTCAGCATATTTCAGTTACTCCTTAATCTTCAGATTTTTTTTTTTTTTATTCTTTAAGGTGACCTTGACCTGCAAATAAAGATCTCTCTAATATTCAGGCTCAAGGGGAGGGTCTAGAAATATTGATGTGAAAAGACAGGTAAATCATAAAAGGATTGTGGATTGGAGCAACCTCAGAGCCCTGAGCGATTTTTGTATTAAAGTAGGAATAACATTAGATAAAGATTTTGAGGGTGTTAATAGGGAAATAATGATTTGTTTAAAATTAAAAATTCAGATGTTTAGTTTTTTAATTTACTTTATGGTCTTAATAAAATATGTTACTCTAATAATATATTTTATTTTCAGATACAAAAATTGCAAGAAGCAGCTGAAATGGTGAAAAGCAGATGCGAAAATTTACTACGTGAGAATAACCTAATTACAAAAAACAAAAATAAAAAATTAGAGAAGGTGAGTTTGATGTTTTAAGCAATAAAATAATATTTATGTTTTATACTTTATGAATATTATACATATTTTTTTATTGTGATCATTTTCTCTAGTTTTGACCTAGGAATTATCTATCTTAAATCTCTGTAAGAGTTTGTTTTCTAAGGACATAATGTTTCCTCCAGGCTTGAAATGTTTGTTTGTATGAATGTTTTTTTACTTTTTCCTTAATATTTGGAAAATAGCATAAGTGTTTAATTTTTCTGATACAAGAGCAGACTCACATATCTCAAAAAAAAAATGGTTATCACTTATCACGGGCTTCATCAGCCACAAATATGCAAATTTGAATATCTCTCCTTTTTAATCCCACTTTTTTGTTTTGGGTACTAAATCTTTTGTGTCTAAAAAGTAAAGTAAAGTAAATATTCGCTGCTAGATGCTTTTTGGAAGAAAAATAATATTTAAAAAAGCAGCATGATTTCCCTTTTATCACCCCATTGCAACAGAGTGAGGGGAAGGCCAGTGTTGGCAAGTTATGATGTTTTTGTGAATATTTTTAACTTTTTAAGTGAAACCACATCCCTCTTTGGGTCTTCTCATGTTGTTTTGGTAAGGAAGCAGTGGAAGTCGTAGGACACTGACTCCCGGCTGGAGAGGTCATGGGATGTTACCAGTCACTTCCAACTGAGTGTAATAAGGTGACTGTCTCTGGGTTGCCCCCACGTCTTGGGATTGAGAAGTCTGAGTGAGGCACAGTGTGAAGAAGAGGTCAGCCAGAGCAGGCATTCTGCTGGTTAAACAGAGATAAAGATAGCCCACCAAACATGCAACTTACTACTTTCTTAGAATTACTTTTCACCTATTTTTAGCAGCATGTCTAGCATTTCATGTGTCCTGGTCTCTGTCTCTCACGAGAGGTACCACCACAAAGGTCTCCTCTTTTTGCTAGGCAACACTGTAAATAAAAGTCTATTAAAAAACCGGTTCAGGAGGCTGATGGGGCAGAAGCCTGTGATTTTCAGATACCATGAGTCACAATGTCTTCTAACTGGTATTAAACCAGAAAAGTCATTTTTTTTTTCTTAAAGATTTTATTTATTTATTTATTTATTTATTTATTTATTTATTTATTTATTTATTTGAGAGAGAGAGAAACCGCATGAGAGGGGATAGGGTCAGAGGGAGAAGCAGGCTCCCCGCTGAGCCGGGAGCCAGATGTGGGACTCGATCCCAGGACTCCGGGATCATGACCTGAGCCGAAGGCAGTCGCTTAACCAACTGAGCCACCCAGGCGCCCAGAAAAGTCATTTTTTAAGATGAAATTTTTCCTTTTCCTTTTCCACTGTCAAGTCTCCTGGTTTTCTCATGGGCTCTCAGATGTTTGGGGTCCCAAAGGTGTGCTTTGTTCTCGTCTTATCTTTTGTGATCAAGAATGCCAGATGTGCACAGTAGCTCTAGGTGTTCCCTGTCTCAGGGAAAGACTCTAGCTCTTGTGTTTTCCTCCCTGTAAACATCCTAAATGCCATATGTCTGGTTATTTTTTCTTAATTAACCATGTAAGCATTTCTTAGGGGTGCTTCTTGTCACATCTCCACAAAATTGTCATGATGAGGCACTGCAGTGGCCAAAGGGGTGACTGTAGATAAAATTAGACTTGCTCCTAGTAATATTCATGATGAAACGACAGTCTACTGAGGACTGATGATATGAGCTATCTTGATATAATACACCATAAACCCCACCAATCTGGACTAAGATGAGTGCAGCAAGCCTATTCTAATTGAAATATCTGAGTTACAAGATTGACAAAGTGACAGTTACTTTAGCTAGATGGCTGGACAGTAGCAAACGACCATACCAGCTTTACTAGTAATAACTATGCTTGAAGATAAATGACAGGATTCACAAAGTTTGCTTTCCTAAGTAGGTTAAACGTTCTCCCCTGTAGGCTGATAAAACTGTATGCATTGACTCAACAAACTTTTTTAAAAAATATTTTTAAAATTTTAACTCTAATGTTATTAACATACAGCGTTGTATTACTCAACAAACTTTTTGAAAACCAAAGTACAGCCCACTTTTGAGGTACGCGTTCTCTATAGCAGAGTCTCACTTAATGTTTATTCATATTTATTTGGTTGAATCTTTTCGTTTAAAACCATTATACCTAAAATACTTACTATATTACGAGCATATCTAGTATTTAAGATAGTAAAAACGTTAATGCTGAATGTGTGACTTTGCACTTATTTCCCTAATGCTACAACTCAGTTGAGAGGCCAGATGGAGTCTCATCTGCAGGAGTTAGAGCGCGTCCGCGATTCCTTGACGGCGGCGGAAGGGAGGCTTCACGAGTGTCAGGAGAGCCTGCAGCACTGCAAGGGGAAATGTGCAGACCAGGCGCACACCGTTAGCGAGCTGCAGGGCCAGGTGTCCGGCCGGCATTCTGCTTTCTACTAGATACGTGAAAGGAAACTTTGGAATGATTTCACCAGTTGAAGGCACTACTGTCAGGGGTTGATTTTTTTTTTTTTTTTAAACTCCCATCTCTATCAGTTTATCAGTTTATTGCAGGTGCTGTAATATTCTGCAAGCTATTCTTTTAGTATTTTATCATGAAAAATTGGTAACTAAAATTGCTCATTTTCGTTTATTTGTACAAATCTATATTTAGATATTGCAGAACATGGTAACAGCATGAGAGAAGGAGCAATGCTATATTTACATATATATTTTTTGACATCAGGATAAGCTAAATTATTGTAATTTACCTTACAAAAATTACAATTTATTTTAATTAGAATTATGCATTGAGTTCATTTGGATTCTTCTCAGTTATTTTTTTGCCAACATATACTTTTGTACTTCATCAAAACAGAGATCATGGGTGCCCAGTTAGTTACCACATAGCCACCTCCTAATTCAATGCCTAGCAGAGTAAGTGCTTAATAAATATTTCTTTAATTATGTTTTTTCAAAGATGCATGTGCAAGGAGGTAGCAAGTGTTTTTGTTTATTTGCAAAACAATTTTAGGAACAATTCCCTGTCTGTCTTCCAAATGTAATCTGGATTTTATTTATTTATTTATTTATTTTTAAAGATTTATTTATTTATTTGAGAGAGCGAGAATGAGAGAGAGCACATGAGAGGGGGGAGGGTCAGGGGGAGAAGCAGGCTCCTCGCTGAGCAGGGAGCCCGATGCGGGACTCGATCCCGGGACTCCAGGATCATGACCTGAGCCGAAGGCAGTTGCTTTAACCAACTGAGCCACCCAGGCGCCCTGTAATCTGGATTTTAATTTTGAAATACATCCTGTTTTTAAACATGCAAACAAAATTTTGCTAAATTTAAATTTCTGAGAAGAGATTTTTCTAGGAAAATGCCAAATCTGTATAGATAACCTAAATTATTAATTAAATTATGAGAAAAATTTTATTTTCAAAGCTTCTTAAAATAAATATAGCTTTTGAAGCAATGGGAAGAATATTCTGTCTTGGTATTGGCAAATTGTCTTTGGTTGATTTGCTTATTTTATTTTGTTTCTCACAAACATGGTTTTTACTTGTAGTTACAACTTCATAGTTAATTATCAATCACTGTCTTTAGGTAAAACAAGAAATTATAAGAGTACTTAAAAATCCAACAATAGGAGATTAATACTGTGTAGTCTTCAAATTTACTTAATAAAATAAACATCCTTTTCCAAGAAAGCATTGTTCAGAATGTATTATTTGCTATCTTTCAGAAAAATTTTTAGTAGATGATTTTTCATGAGGCAGTTTAGTGTTTTTAAAATTAATCAGGAATTTAAGAGCCTGTGTTTTAACAATGCAATATTTCTTTGTGTCTCTCTGTTCAGTAGTAATAATAATATTTACGTCTTCTTGTTTTTTATGATTATTCTAACAAAGTATATAGATTTCTTTGGAAGTTGGTTATAAAGAAAATAACCAGGAAAACTTTTTTTTTTCCCCTTTTAGGTTGATGCAAATCATAATCTTCTGAGAAAGCTTTCTCTGGAAGAGGAAAATTATCTTATTCAGTTGAAGTGTGAAAACCTTAAACAGTAAGTATTAAATTGACTTAAAATTGGTGTTACATTTTTCTCTACACACTATAATTTTAAAATGTATGTTTTCTGTAAAAAGAAAATTAGAACAGATGGATGCAGAAAATAAAGAGCTTGAAAAGAAGCTGGCAAACCAAGAAGAATGTCTTAAGCATAGCAATCTTAAGTTTAAAGAGAAATCAGCAGAATATACAGCATTGGCCAGACAGCTGGAAGCTGCTTTAGAAGAAGGAAGACAAAAGGTACAGATGGCCTTTATTTAGAAACTTTTTAATTAGTTTACCAAAGAGTCGTCTTTTTAAACAGACAATATCTCATCTTACCAAACCTACAGTTATTGTATTTATCCTGATGACAGGGTGAAGAGAGCAATTACATTTCTGTTTTTTACTTACTTTTCCCTTTTGGAGCTAAACAGCTGTATATTACTGGTGCAGTTAGTTCACTAGGTAAATGATGATGTGGCAGGGCAGAGGGCAGAGATGGAAAACATGGAAGGAGCACCCCCCCCCCTTTTTTTTTAATAAAACCAAAGCAGTTGTGCAAATTGTTGAACATTATGGTTTTGATCGGGATCTGGTGAGCTGTAGAGCTCAACTCCCTTTTCTTTTGGCCAGTATTGTTACATAAGTACATGTAAGAATTAAATTCCAGTTAAATCCATTTGGTTAACATTTAATAAAAATCTCACTGTGTGTCAGCCACTCTGTTAGCTTTTGAGATGCAAAGATGAATAAGACCTTGTTAGTTTGCAAGCTCCTTGGCAGTTTCCCTGGTGTTATGGGAAACCTGTATGCAGAGGGCAGGGAAAGACTGTAGAAAGAGGCAAACCACTCCAGGTTGGAAGGTGACAGGTTTAATAAGCAAGGGAACACAAGAGTTTTCTTGGATGGCCACAAGATGAGTAGATTTCTACGCCTGACAGAATCTTAAAAGTTTATATAGAGGCCCTTAACTAGGTTCAGTCCAAATAGCCTTAACACCACATTCCCTTCTCAAGGCTCTTTACTTGGAGTGGCTTCTGGGAGCAGGGGAGGAAATCAGAACACATATCTCAAGGACAGGGGAGAGGGTGGGGAGCTTCCAGTTGCCCAGGTCCAGCTCGTGGGTCACCTGGAGGTCACATCTTTTTGATAACCTCCTCCAACAGACCTGGCCTTAGCTCTCAGGACACTCATACAGGGGGAGGATAATATGTGAACAGACAAGTGAGTGACATACAGCATGTTGGTGCGACAACAGAGGGAGGGTACAGGTACACCAGAGGACATTGTTCGTTTCACGTGGGGGTAATGGGAAATGATGCAGGAGGGTCCTTTTTTTTTTTAACATATAATGTATTATTTGTTTCAGAGGTACAGATCTGTGATTCAACAGTGTTACACAATTCACAGCACTCATCATAGCACATACCTTCCCCAATGTCCATCACCCAGCCACCCCATCCCTCCCACCCGCCTCCACTCCAGCAACCCTCGGTTTGTTTCCTGAGATTAAGAGTCTCTTACGGTTTGTCCCTCCCTTCCCCTATGATCCTCTGTCTTGTTTCTCAAATTCCTCATATCAGTGAGATCATATGATAATTGGCTTTCTCTGTTTGACTTATTTCACTTAGCATAATACCCTCTAGTTCCATCCACGTCATTGCAAATGGCAAGATTTCATTTTTTCTGCATAATATTCCATTGTATATATATACACCATATCTTCTTTATCCATTCATCTGTCAATGGACATCTAGGCTCTTTCCATAATTTGGCTATTGTGGACATTATTGTGGCTACAAACATCGGGGTGCATGTGCCCCTTCGGATCACTACATTTGTATCTTTGGGGTAAATACCCAGTAGTGCCATTGCTGGGTTGTATGGTAGCTCTATTTTCAACTTTTTGAGGAACCTCCATACTGTTTTCCAGAGTGACTGCACCAGCTTGCATTCCCACCAACAGTGTAGGAGGGTTCCCCTTTTTCCGCATCCTTGCCAACATCAGTCCTTTCCTCACTTGTCAATTTTAACCATTCTGACCGGTATGAGGTGGTATCTCATTGAGGTTTTGATTTGTATTTCCCTGATGCCAAATGATGTTGAGCACTTTTTCATGGGTCTGTTGTTCATTTAGATGTCTTTGTTGCAGAAATGTCTATTCATGTCTTCAATGCAGGAGGGTCTTAAAGAATGGGTAGATTTATCAAATGACTTGAAAATATAGTCTTGAAAGGACTTAAGGTAGGCTTTGGAGTCCAACAGGAACTGGATGTGAAATCTGGCTCTGACACATTACACCCTGACCCAGAATGAATCACTTCTCTAAACTCTAGTTTCTTGGGGCGCCTGGGTGGCTCAGTTGTTAAGCGTCTGCCTTCGGCTCAGGTCATGATCCCAGGGTCCTGGGATCGAGTCCCACATCGGGCTCCCTCCTCGGGGGGAAGCCTGCTTCTCCCTCTCCCACTCCTGCTGCTTGTGTTCCTGCTCTCGCTATCTCTGTCTCTGTCAAATAAATAAATAAAATCTTAAAACAAAACAAAACAAAAAAAACTCTAGTTTCTTAATTAGTGAAATGGGGATGATGAGTTTTCTCATCAGATTGAGTGATGCTAAAAAGAGATTGTCTATACATGATGACTCTCAGATGTATATCTCCACCCCAGACTTCTCTCTCTCCTGAAATCTAGACTCAGATATTCTGCTACTTGACATCTCTACTTAACATAGGCATCTCAAACTTAACATGTCCAATACCAAATTTTGAATCTAAATCCCTCTAAACTCTCTTCCACCCTTGTCTTTCTCAAGCCTGTTAATGGCAATTCCATGTAAGTTAGATAAAATCTGATATCCCTGAAGTGTGGCTTTTATATCACAAGTGCCATGTATGTGTGTGTATATAAATATATATACTTACATACTTTATATATATATATATATATATATATATATATATACTTTAAAGTCTGGGAAACCAATTTAAATTTACTTTGAAAGAGATATCCTTGAATAAAAGCTAAGTAGTGAAATGTATTGCCGATGATAGAAATGTAATCCAGATTTCTCAGCCCCATCAACCTTTGGGAGGAAAATAAAAGACTTTCTCCTGGGTTCAGCCTAAGTGGACTTCAGAAATGCTAGGTGTTCTCAGATTCCTTCTCAGAAGTGTTCAGAGTCTGCCTTCTTTCTCTCCCGCTGCACTGGAACATGGGGCTGTCTCTAGTTCCTGCCAGGTGAGGAGTGCCATCACTGCCTTGTCACCATTGTCCACACTGAGGACATTGTCAAGACTCTTTCTCCTACAGCTTCAGATCCTGCTAGCATGCCTCACACACCATTGCCCTTGGAATTTGTGTGAAAGAAATCTTTGTAAATTACTTCATAATAACTTGGAACTGAGTTTACAGGAGTGTGATTAGAGGACAGGCCTTCCCACTAGCTCCTTGCTCCTGAACTAGTCCTCGCCTCGACTCTTATTCTTGTGGCTCCAACCCAGCATTCTTGCAAATAGGCTCCCACATATCTGAATCATTGGATGAACATAGCTAAGCTAGACTTTCTGCTAAAATAAGCAATCATAGAAATAAGAAAACTCAAATTCAGACCACTTTGGAAGTGAATGAGTGAAAAACCAGTCTGGTGTGTGTGTGAGTGAAGTGCATACCTCCCCTGCCCTGTCCCTATCTCATCCATCCAGTCTACCGTCCACACTGAATGAGAACTTGCTGTACTCCACCCCAACTCTGGACACCACGGTGAATGTAAATACGTATACCATGCCAGCCGGTCTCAGTAGGTTATAAAAATAGAGTATTGGGAAAAACACCTACCTAAGTCACAGAGGAGTGCAAATATGTATACTTCTTCCGTATCAGGCTAATTTTGCTGATACTTTGACTGCAAAAAGAAGTAAACATATTTATGCTATATGTGTTTCCTCAGGATAGGACATTTTTTTTTTTTAAAGATTTTATTTATTTATTTGACAGAGAGAGAGAGAGTGAGAGTAGGAACACAAGCAGGGGGAGTGGGAGAGGGAGGAGCAGGCTTCCCGCGGAGCAGGGAACCCAATGTGGGACATGATCCCAAGACCCTGGGATCATGACCTGAGCCGAAGGCAGACGCTTAACGACTGAGCCACCCAGGCACCCAGGATAGAACATCTTTAAACATTTTGTAATTAAACTGTTCAGAAAAAGAGGTAGAGTATAATTATGTCAAGGCTTTAGATCATACTTTAAAGAAAGTTTATTTAGTTATTTTACTCTTTTAATGAAAATTACAGGTTTCTGAAGAAATAGAGAAAATGTCATCTAGAGAGAGGGCTTTGCAGATTAAAATATTAAATCTGGAAATTGAACTTAGAAAGAAAAATGAAGAACAAAATCAACTTGTTTGCAAAATGCACAGCGTAAGTGTTAGTATGGCTTAATGTATTTTCATAAAAAATAAATTAGTATGTAACATTCTTACCATGTAGTTTCGTTAAAGTATGAAGTGAGGGGAATCAGGACTCTTGGTTTACTGGTAATATTAAGAATAACAAATAATATAAATCATAAAAATTTAAAATGTCATGATTATGCCAAAGAGTTATTACCTTGCATCCTTGGTAGCTCCTAGCACATTTCCCCGAAGTCTCATCAGGCCCTTTCCTGCACATTACTTTAGCACAATAGCTGCTTAATGAAACTTACAGATACAATCTACTGAGGAGTTTCTGGTACGAATTTTTCATTTTTTTTAAGATACACAATTCAAACTATTATGAGTTAGACTTTGGTATCTGTCTTGAGTAATGAATATTATACTTTTAGAAAGTCATGAGTTTCTATTAAGTAAATATTCAGTGTTGTTATATCTGCATATAAGATAGGTGCTCTGAGCCACTCAGCCATGAAATGAGAATCCCAAATTGGCTGTGTTTAATCTTCTGATGTCTTTTCCTAAATATTCATGAAAATAGTCAATTGGCGTAAGATACTATGGAAGCTAGCATTAGTCGTGACTAGATTACTTGATAACGGTCTACTTGATGACATAGAAAATGATGATACTTTACCTTTTCCGGGAACCAGAGATGCCACGAAAACTATTTTTTCATTCCCAAGTGTCTACAAAGTTGAAAATGTGAAAGGTTCAAAACTTAATTGATTTTTGGCATGCAATATTAATTTAATTTTATCACCGTCAAAATTTCCATGGCAATTTAATCAGAACAAACATTTCTCACTTTTAATGTAGCACGGGTCTGCCCTTTATTCTAAATCTCTTATATTTATTTAAAAAAATTTTTTTCTCACCATCAGAATTTCAGATACTGTAAAACATGTGTAATTAAAACTTCTGAAAAAATAAGTAGTAAGATGAGCTGGGTTTCTCTATAATGTTCGCAGTGCTTGGTTAAGTTCTGCCAAAATAAGTGAGTTTAAGATGTGATGTTCTGTTAAACCTGATAATTTTTACAGTAGTAAAAATCTAGAATTCTAAGCAAAGATTTAGACATTGCTGAGTCTGTGTGTTCTGTCCCTTCCAGGGTACAGTTCTGTGGGCAGGTCAGTATTTATTTTGTATACGTGTCCTAGCTCTAGCTGAGTTGTAAGCACCCCAGGAGCTGGTCTCATAGTTGGTTCTCTCCCAGTGTCTTGCACAGTGCCCTGCCCACAAGCAGACTTCCTCAGATCTTCTGCCCAAGTGCTTCAGCTGGGGCAGAGTGAATGCGCAGACCCAAGCGTGGCCTCACCTCCTTAACCCAGGCTGCCGTGCCTGAAGCCTGAAATGTCTTTGGAGTCTAATAGATTATCCTAAAATCCGTGAACATTTTACATTCTCCCCTACAATAGAAGTGTGTTCTTATTAATATTTTCCCCTCCAAACTGTTTAGTAAAATTGATGTTCCACAAAGATTCACTATATTCATTCTGTGACTTTGTGTAGCCCCGCCTAGCACATTGCTTCATACCACTCCACTGCCCCCAGGGGGTATCACTCAGTTTCAGAAGGGATCAGGTGTCACTGAATACCAGATAGGAAGGAGGGGAAAAAAAAAAAGATTTCTCTTCTTAAGATGCCTACATTTCAGTTGGAAGCTAGATGATATTTGCAGCCTATCTGAAGTATTTTCAGTGAACAAATCTACTTGAGAATTTATATGCAACTGAATATGTTAAAAAAATATATTGGGCTTTTAATTTTTCCCTCAAATAAAGAACGCCTGTAATATTTAGAGTTCTTTTTATTTTTAAAGGATTGTAAAAATAAAATGTTCATATTAAAACTAGAATTCTGTCACTTTTTAAGGCAGCAAAAGTCTTATGTATAAAATATGAAAATGGTGCCCCACATTCCGGGGGAAGCCTGCTTCTCCCTCTCCCACGCCCCCTGCTTATGTTCCTTCTCTCACTGTGTCGCTGTCTGTCAAATAAATAAATAAAATCTTTAAGAAATAATAATAAATAAATAAAATATGAAAATGGCAAAAACTGATATTAAAATAGGTCATGTTAAATGTAATGAAAAATAGTTTTGACAGTTTTAAATAAAATCTGTTATGTTAATCATATTAAATATGTAATCATTTGGGGTTGACTGTGTATTACAAGCTATATGACAGTAAAGATCAACCATGTATGTACTTTAGTTATGCGGGATTTTAAAGAAAAATGAGCTCTAAGATATGTTGTTAATGCACGTATCAGATGTTAGAATTCTCTCAAAAAATTAAAAGTCATGTATTTAATTGTATATATAAATTTTACATTATGACTCTACCCTTTCATATGAATGTCATTATTGATTATCTTTATTTCTTTTTTTATTTAGAAAGCACAACACCAGGAAGTATGTTTGAAGGAAATACAACATAGTCTTGAAAAGTCAGAGAATCAAAACGAAAGTATTAAGAATTATTTACAGTTTCTAAAAACTTCTTATGTAACAATGTTTGGATAAATGGTTGTATTTATTTTCTATAAGCAATAGGATTTTACTCTAAGTCTAAAACATGATTAGGTACAAAAATAATAATAAATATAATTTATGGGTGGTAGTAGAGTTTTTATGAGGCTTTCTTAAATACAATTTATTTTCCAATTGCAACTTTAAAATAAGATACTGATGTTAGTATTCCTTTTTGCTGGATAATTTTCATTTAGCTCTGGTTTAATACCTATTTAAATTATATTGATTTTTAGAATGGTTTTCACACACAGAAAAGAAGCCAGAATCATTTTTTGTGACTGTAGCCATCAGTTAATTGAATTTGTAATGAATCTAGGCCAGTTATGAGCCAAATACATGATTTTGAATAACATATAATTGTTTTACTTTGTGGTGCTATATATGTATATATAAAATCAAGGAAAATATTCTGGATATTAATTGTTAATAATAGTATAATTACATACTTTCTAAAGATACCAAATGTCAAATTATTACTGTTTCAAGTATGATGCCATTATAATTTCTGTGAGGATTTTAATAAAGAATTTTAAATCATAGCTATTAAATGCCAGCTGATGGTGACAGATGAAAACACATTGGCGTACATTGTTTCTTTATAGAGAATGGGCATTTGGGCTCGCCTGTGAATTTGTAGTCTCTCTTTTTTTTAATTAGTGATTGTGTGGTATTGTCACTGTAGACATTTTTTTTTTTTTTTGAAGATTTTATTCATTTATTTGACAGAGAAAGACACAGCGAGAGAGGGAACACAAACGGGGAGTGGGAGAGGGAGAAGCAGACTCCCTGCAGAGCAGGGAGCCCGATGTGGGACTCGATCCCGGGACTCCAGGATCATGACCTGAGCCGAAGGCAGTCGCTCAACCAACTGAGCCACCCAGGTGCCCCACTGTAGACATTCTAAAGCCCGTGAGGTAACTAAAAGATTAAAGGGGAACAACTTGTCCTGCCCCTTTCCATGGCCAACTCCCTTGGGATGACTAAAATAAGCACTGTTAATACCAAGAAGTTGTAGGATAAGGTCTTTATTACTGCAGTGACATAGAAGAGATACCAAGAACTTATTGCCCCCAATCTCCTACCCGATGTGCCGAGGCAAGATCCTCTAAAAGGGGATTGATGTCGTCAGCAAGGAATCAGGTAATAGTAGCTCCTCGCAGACAATGGCTTGAGGGCTGTTTATTGAAAGGGCACTCAGGTCTCAAAAGATCATCCAGAGAAGCAAATTGTGTACGACACGGTCCAGCCTATGAACAGAGCCATCTCCCCAACAGAAATGGGATCCTTCTTTTCTCTGGTCCCCCTCAGGGGGACCTAAGACTGCCCTAGGATCTATGGGAGCTACTTGTCAGTGACCCAGCTGCTTAATAGTATTTTTCTTAAAATAGCGTAATATGGTAACTTCAGGAACTGGCCACATTGTTTGCCCAATAATTGCTAACAACATTAGTGTTGCCTTTTTTTTTTTTTTTTTAAATCAGAGTACTTTTACCAAAACACATACTTGACCCTTGTGGTCCTTTCTTCAACTCCTAAGGCAAAGAGAGCTTTAAGAAATACTCCGATGAAAGGAAACTAAGGTTCTTAAGTATTGCTCATTAGACTGAGCTCTTGAAGGGCAGAACTGTACCTTATTCCTATTTCTATTCCAGCCACTACACCATAGCTAGTACATACCTAGATGCTCCACTGATGTTTGTGGATAGATAGAAAAAAAATGTAAGCATAGAAGGATTAACTACCATAGCTATGGTATAAAACTCTTAAATTTTGAAGTTGGCATTTGAACTTAACTCTTCTGATTCTAAAATTAAAGTTCTACATACAGTGCTGTTTTCCTGTGCAAGGAGTGGCGGCGGCGGGAGCATTGCTTTTATTTACTGAGGACTTGCTATGTGCCAGACAGAGCTCCCAGTGTGGGACATGTACTAACTCATTTAATCTTTACACTTAATAGCACTTAATAGATGCTATTAATTCCATTTATTTTTCAGCAAACCAAAGCACAGAAAGGTTTCTTGCCCAAGGCCACAGAGCTAGTAAGTGGCAGGCATCCAGAGTCTCTGCTAACTATGACCACACTACCTTCATATATTTCATAAATAAAGGTAAAGGTTTCTTGTAACAATCATGCATTTACTTCATCTGTGAATATTTTCTTTTTATTATACCTCTAATTTTTGCCAAGGTGTTTGTGCCTATGCATTAAGATTTAGTCCCTGCAATGTTTCAGATAGACTGTGGAAGGAAATGACTACTGTGGAGGCCCTGAGGTTGGTACTCAGATGCTAGTGACAAAGGACAAGAGGAAGTGTGCCAGACCCTAGAAGAACTGTAGCATGAAGGACAGACAGTGGGCTCTATGGTGTGTGGACCAAACTCAGCATTAGGGAGGCCCAGAGTCAGTGCCCTGGTGTCTCTGAGCAGTGTCCCTGCGGGCAGCTCTCCACCATCCCAGAAAGCTCTCGTCCTGCGGTGCTGACAGCCTGGCAGGGTTTTCTCTATCCTCGATATTCAGGGCCTCAAGACTTTGAGTCCTAAAAGTTTTTTTCCATTATTTCTGCAATTATTACCTCTCCATATGTTCTTCTCCTCCTCCTTGTTTTGTCTCCTGGATATGATCACCACACAACTTGCCTTTTCCCTCAGGGTCTGTCACAGGGTATCTTGTGAGGTATTGCCACCTGATTTTTCTCACCACTAATGTGGTTCTCAAGGGCAGTCATTCTCTTTCTGTTGGATATTGGATTTCTAATTAAGAAATCCTGTTTTTTAGTTCCTGAAAGCATTGGGTTTTGTTTTTTTGTTTTTTAGTGCTGTAATTCCATTATATTTTCATTAAAATTTTCATCTGTTTTTTCCATTGGTTCTACTACAGTCGGAATTTCGAGTTTCTGTTCTGCTGGCCATCTTTCTTCCCAAACCCCATATGAGTTTTAATTTTCCTTGCCTCCTCATGGTTATGGTTCCCTCAATACGTGCCAGCAGCCCGCCCTGCACATTTCTTGGGCAGTAGCAAACCAGGTGGTGAAAGGCGGATGGCTTCGGTTCTCATGGCCTGAGACCTGCTACCCTCAGCTGAAGGGCTGTGAAAAACCGTTCTGCTCCCAGATGTTTTCAGTCACGAGCATCAGTTCTCAGCTACCAAGACTGGAAGCACTTCACTGCACTGAAGAGCCCACTTCAAGGTATTCGGGGGTCAGTAAGTTTGTTGAAGCGAACAACAAGCGAAAAGTCCCCTATGGAAGCGAACCACAGGCGGTGTTGTCTATACCTAGAATACTGTGCAGCAACTTAAAGAATGAATTCGATCTGTATCTGCTGGCTTGAGATTTGTTCATGATTTTTATTTTTATACGATTTTTATTTTAACCTTAAGTGTCACAGAATTATGTATTCACTTTGTAATCAAAAAAAGCGTCTCTGTGAATAAGTTTACATATGTTGGTATAAGCATGGAGAAAGGTGTTGAGAGGCTCACTTGCCTTGGTAGGGATGGAGGAAATAGTCTTTATTCCACTCATTCCAATGAGATTACATTACTTTAGATTATTTTCTAATCAGATAATAAAAAATTTAAAGGTTGGAGGACAGGCATAGTATGGAGTGGAAGAGTAGGACCAGTGAGAGGTTATGGTCTGAGAATGAAATATTGGAATTGGATTTTCACAGGGGGGAATAGTCAGGGACAAGGAAAAAGCGAGAAGTCGTGGATGTTGAAGCCATCTAGAATGTGGAAGGGATTGGAGTAGAGCTGAAGAGCAAGCATCCTGGTTAGATGTGGGCAGATGAGTAGGTCACTGTACTAAGGAACGAAAGTTTTAAAATTCTACCAAATTCAAAATCCTCAACATGACCCTTAACGCCTTCCATGTTCTGGTCCTTAGGTCCATGGCCTCACGGCTCTGCCCACTTCCTAACCCTCTCCTATTACTTACCTCCTCACCCACTGTGCCCAGTTGCACTTGGTTTCCCTGAAAACCGAGTTCATTCCTTCTTTCCTTTTGAAATACTCTTTCCCCCACTTTGGCCTGACTAGATCCTCCTCCTTCTTTCATATCGCTTCCTACTCCCTTCTTTCAGAATCGGCAGTTTTTTATCTGTGTGATTGTGTGACGTTTGTCTCACTAGACTTTAACAGTGGAATTTACTGTTCTGTAGCCTACATCTAACACGGTGCCTGGTACATAGCAACCACTAAGTACATATTCGTTGGATGGATAGGTAGATGGAGGGATGGTGATACTGCCATTAGTTCTGAGCTTCAAAGTAGGGAGAGGGGAGTTGCCAGGAAAGGAAGTTAAACAGTCTGGTAGAATGAGTAGCTCTCTCTCCTGCTGGCCGCAGGGGAAGCAGTTTCCTGGGTGAGGTGGCGGTTTCCTTTCAGGCAGAGGTGGAGTCTGAAGAGATTCAGGGGGCAGGAGACTTTGTCTATAATCAGATGTGTGTCCCAGAGGCTACAGTGGAAAATGGAAGGGAGTTGGTATTGGGAGTGAGTCAGGAAAGTAGAATGGGTTGCTTCAGGTAATTTTAAGAGTATTTTCTTTTTTTCTTGTCTAAGAATTAATAAAAATCCCATGTGGTGTCTTCTTTTCTTCTGATACTATTCATTTGGGAAAGTTGCATAAGTCCCAAGTATAACATTAGTGTTTTTGATTTAAGATTGCAACCAGTTGGGCACCTGGGTGGCTCAGTCGGTTAAGCGACTGCCTTTGACTCAGGTCATGATCCTGGAGTCCTGGGATCGAGTCCCACATCGGGCTCCCTGCTCTGCGGGGAGCCTGCTTCTCCCTCTCCCCCTCCCCCTGCTTGTGTTCCCTCTCTCACTGTGTCTCTCTCTGTCAAATAAATAAATAAAATCTTTAAAAAAAAAAAAAAAGTTTGCAACCAGTTGTGGTACTTTCCAATAACACTTCCACAAGAGAAAAAATATTAAAAATAAGTAAATAACTTTTTTTCCCTTAAAATTTAAGATTTCCTTAAAATTGTAAAGTTTAGGTACATTTAAAAAAATAAGTATCTTGTTTGTTCTTTCTTTGGCATGGCTTGGGGTAGGGTTAGAGGGAAGGGGAACTGTTAGGAGCCCTTTATATCATTTGTTGTTATTCGATGAAGTTAATATTGACAACAGCCTAAGCTTAAAACCAAAAAAATTAAACCTGTAATTAGCTGTCACACATTATTTTAAATAAACATTTCAATTATAAACTGTGACCCCTTTATGCAAGCTTAAAGTGTATTTTTTGCAATGTCTTTGTAAAGTAGATCTCTTTCCTATCATTTAAAAAAAGGAGCTCAATTTTTTTTAGAAGAACTGAATTAGAAAGAGCATCTAAATCTAGTATGGTAAGGCATATGTAAATGATCTTTAAAAAATGGCAATTTCATTTTCATAATTAATGGTAACTAAAACTTCTTGAATGTCACCTGAATGCTATCTAAAACTTTTTTATATTTAAAAGATTTTGTTTTACTTCTACAGACAAGCACACTAATTCTTTAAAACTTCATAAGTTTTCATTTCCATGCCAGAAGTCTAACTTAGTTTTTACTATTTTGAACTTGTCTTATTTGAGATTTCTATTTTAGCCTTTCTGATAGTGTTCATAAAATTGAAATGAGAAATAAGAATTTTAATTTTAAATGAGTTGACTCCTATTAAAACACCAATCCTAACACTTGAGAATATAGTAGACACAAAGATTTCTATACTTTCTTTTTCCTGCCTAACATATAAATAGGTCTTACACCTTAATAAAATATGAATGTCCATCAGATAAAATGACCAAAGGATAAAAACAGACAAGTCATAAGAGAAGAATTACCAATGGCTAACAAATATGTTTATAAGATGTTCAGATTTAGTAGTAAAAAAAGTGTTAAGTGAAAACATTTTTAATATATGTGCTGCTGAAGTGAGCACGTGTTAAGTGAAAACAAATCTCTTTTCTTTCCCTATAGTAATTTTAAAGAGGTAATTCCTAGTTTTGAAAAGAGGTAAAATGAGAATTCTCACACACTACTAATGGGACTTACTGTTCCATTTATCTGTGGATATACAATATTATTGCTCCACAGTTGGATAGTTGTGTTGTTTTCATGTTTTCTCCATTACAAACTTTTCTGCAGTGGATATCATCATGCGTCTAATGACTTTAGGATAAATGCCTAGATGTAAATTATAGTATCAGAAGCCATGAAAGTTTTCAAGGTTCTTGAAACAGAATTGTTCATGCCATTTGCTACAATAATTTTCAACTTAGGCATTTATCCTAAAGTAATAATTAGATGCTGGTGGGAACTACTTCTTACACCACTCCATTGCTCATGCCTGGCACCTAGTAACAATTAAATCTTGTCATCCGACATTCAAATGAATAGCAATATGGCCAAGTCATCTTTCAGTCTTGGTTATAATTGTAAAGTAGGAATGTGAACATGCTCTGAAAATTACAAGGAGTTCTGAAATTGTAAATGTTAGTATTTGTTCATAATTTTAGAAGTGCTATACTTTTATTTCTCATTGTTAGTTGATGCCAATTCAATTAAAACCTGAAGCTGATGTTTACTTTCCTACATGTCTATTTATTTGATATTCATTTGTGTTAATTTTTTTTCAGAAAATTTTTTTAAATTTAAATAATCTCTTCACCCAATGTGGGGCTCTAACTCGCAACGCCGAGATCAAGAGTTGCATGCTCTTCCAGCTGAGCCAGGCAGGTGCCCCCTTTATTAAATTTTTTTGTGTTGATAAAAGTCAATTTAGGTTGTAGTATAAAATGAATTCTGGATTTGAAT